AGCTGGTAGATTAACTGGCTCCTGTCTAAATTGCTTCTAGCATGTGTATGTATGAATGTGAGTTAGGGACCTTAGATTATACACCCCTTGAGGGTTAGGGACTGATGTGAATGTACAATATATATGTAAAGCGCTGCGGAAATTGATGGCGCTATATAAGTACCTGAAATAAATAAATAATAAAACAAAACTATAAGACTTTGAACACATTTTATTTGAAACACACTTGGAATGTGTTTGGCACATTTAAAATGAAAGTTTGATTTTTAAAGCTGTACATTTAAAACATTCTGCTTTCTGCATTTTAAGTGTGATTTTCAGCAAAATGCACCTTATAGGAATAAAATGGTAGCACATGTTAAAAGCATCTAGAAAGTACTGCAGCGCAACTGTACCACATGAACAACACAGAGGTGTAAATAATAGCTTTTACCTGGCTTTTTCTTTGCACACTCTCGTCTGTCTTCCCACCATTTCCTGTAGATTGTGGGCACTACCCCTTACCTATTGCTTGTTAGACTAATCTTTGTACATTTACTGAGTCATTTCCCTTAACTGTAATCCAGAACTATTGTTCAGATGGGCAAAGCACACTTGCGTCTTGAAAATGTTGTCCCTATGTGTGGCACATAGTACAGACAGGAGCAGTACTGTTAGCACCAATGGTAATTAAAATTTTTTTTAGAAAATTGATATTAATAAAAGGTAGGCACACAAATCCTCTCACATTAACCCATGTTACATCCAATGAAATTGAAAATGAAAGGCAAATAAATGAAAATGAAAGACAAAATTATATTAGAATAAATACCCTTTAAATGGTAGGAACGTGCATCATGATTGTGTGTCAACAAAGCCATTGATCAATATGTCTGCAATGACACGGTGATCACAGCAAAGTGAGCATGCACCAACATAGCTGCCAACTGTCACGAATTAGCCAGGATAGGCACGGATATTGATCCGTTGTCCCGACCTGACCTTTTCCCAAAAACAAATTTGCTCAGACAGACAGCAGTGCCGCGGGTGCCCGCATCTGTGTTTGTGGTGGCGGGGTCACAGTGCCCACAAAACAAGGGAGAACACAGGTACAGATCCCTCCCCCTACCTCCACCCCCCTTCCCTGGCAGCTGATGTTCTTCAAGCGGCGGTGGGGCTGGCGCTCTCATTGGGGACTCATTAGGGACTGAGAACATCCCTGGGTAAGGTGAAGCAAGCAAGGCTTGCAGTTGCAATTGGCTGGGAGGTGTCCCACTACGGTCATGGATAGGCAGACCTTCCTTACAGGAAGGTTGAGGAACTTGTAGGGGTGTCAGAGATATCATAGGAGGGCAGAAAAATTGTGGGGGTGTAATGTTACATACAGTGTATAAAGCACTGTATAAATTGTACGCTCTATATATACGCCAGCAACAAATAAATTAATATGTTAATAATATGCCCATAATAAATACATTCCCCACCTAATTAAAGTACATGATCTGCCTAAAATGGCTTTCTGGACACAGAAAAAAAGGTGTCCCTAAAAACATTTTTGAAACGTTTGCAACTATGCACCAAGTGTTAAAACATGCTAAAATATCAAGATTTGTTTGTCTTAATTTTGGGTGTGTTTTGTTATTTCACTTTTTTACAGTAAGAAGTAAAAAAATATTTTAAAAGACTGTGCACAAGAATGCACCTTATTACATGTATTCATGTTTTTCCTATTTTGTGCGTATTTTATTACTTTAGGCAAAGAAAAAAGAACTATAAATTAAATAAGGTGAAAACACAAATACACTGGTTTCTTTAAAATGTTTGTTAATTTTTTACATTTTTTTCTTACTGTTAAAAAACATCACATAAACTACACACAAAAAATAAATGGGGGAAAAACATTAAAAAATAAACAAAAATAAAACTTCAGCAGACGTTTTTATTCCTGTTTCTCTATGGGAGAATCACCCCTCTATCTGTGCTGGTGAACACTGTCACTAAAACAGAAAATGAGGGGAAACACAAATATTTAGGAGTAATCCCTAGAACAAGAGAAGATGGGAACTCCATTATGTTCTAGGGACAGTAGTACATGCATTTTGGAAGATTTCCTTTAACTACCGTATTTGCCGGCGTATAAGACGATTTTTGACCCTTGAAAATCTTCTCCAAAGTCGGGGGTCGTCTTATACGCCGGTACACATGTTAGGGGGGCTGCGGCATTAAGTACAGGGGTTTGCAGGGGCTGACGTCTCTTACCTGGATCCAGTCCCAACGATCCGGTCCAGGAAGCGCGGCGTCTCCTTCAGTTCGGCCACTGGATGTTCGTGCGGCTGCGCGGCTCCGCCTCCTCACCGGTGATTGGCCGCCAAAACTGTAGCTCAGGAAAGGCACACAGGCGGCCAATCACCGGCGAGGGGGCGGAGCCGAGCGGCCCCGCGAAAATTGAGTGCCGGAGCAGCAGGTAAGTGCTCTGTGTAGAGGTGCTGCTGCAACCACATATGCTGGCTGCAGCAGCACCGTACTAGAACAGGGTCAGCAAGTGTCAGTGGGAGGAATAGTGCCCCATCATTGGTGTCACTGATACCAATGATGGGGCACTATTCCTCCCATTGATACCAACGATGGGGCACTATTCCTCCCACTGACACCAACGATGGGGCACTATTCCTCCCCCCCACTGACACCAACGATGGGGCACTATTCCCCCCCCCACTGACACCAACGATGGGGCACTATTCCTCCCCCCACTGACACCAATGATGGGGCACTATTCCACCCCTCACTGACACCAATGATGGGACACCATTCCTCCCACTGACACCAATGATGGGGCACTATTCCTGCCACTGATACCAATGATGGGGCACCTATTCCCCCCACTGATACCAATGATGGGGCACTATTCCTCCCACTGATGCCAATGATGGGGCACCATTCCTGCCACTGATACCAATGATGGGGCACCTATTCCCCCCACTGATACCAATGATGGGGCACTATTCCTCCCACTGATACCAATGATGGGGCACTATTCCTCCCACTGGTGTGCATTGGAAGAGGGGTAGTCTTATACGGCGAGTATAGCCCAAACACTACATTTTAGCAGGAAAAGTAGGGGGGTCGTCTTATACGCCCAGTCGTCTTATACGCCGGCAAATACGGTACCTGTTTCATCTCAGGGACAGAACATGGTGGCAAAAACAACCTGTCAGAGCTTTTAACACTTCCCTATGCCAACTAAACTAAAAAAAGTTTGGTTATTTATACACTTTAATTCTATATGGGGTTTTTTTTTTACCTTGCAACTGTCATATTATGCATATAGCACTCTAAAAAAAAAAGTAAATATTTGAAGATATATTTAAAATAATATATGTATTTGCAATATTATATCATAGTAGTGCAATGTATTGTAAATCAACAAATTACAAAGTTCAATGTCTCTAAATATCCAGTGCATTTGTAGATTCATGACACACAAGCCACTAAAAGAAAAAACCTGTTTGCACACATTCTGCAAGAATAGAATATGGCAGAGATAATGCAGTATTTTATGTTTAAAAAACACAGCAAACATTCATAAAATTAACAATTTTTTCAAATATTAATAGATACAACATCAGAAATACATATTGATAAATTGATATGTAAATGAACTACAGTATTTTAATTGAATAAAAAATTTGTATATCAATTTACGTAGTCTAAGTGAACCTACAGAACAAAATTTAAATACATCTGTATTTTAACATACATTATACTGCATGGTATCATAGAAAGTACTAAGGAAGTGCAATGTCCCATAAGAAGTGTAACTTGCCTCCCACTAGTGCCCAGTCATTTAACCAATGGCATGCATATCCTGGTGGACTGATATTGAGAAACTGCCTAGGCAGAGATGCCAACTAATGGGATCCCAATGAATGACTGACTGTCCTGACTTTCCTGATCAGCATTGATTGCTCCAGGTCAGTGACTCACAAAGTATTTTAGCCAGAAATGTTCAGGCAACTAGCTTTTTAAGAGAAGGTAAACAACCTCCAAATCTGACTACGTACAACTTTCCATTTAAAGTGATATTAAAAGGTTCCTTTATAACAAAAAAAAATAATAAAGGAATATTAACCTGCTCTGTGTAACGGTCAGAGCACAGAGCAGCCCCAATCCACCTCTTCTCAGGTCCCCCCCCCCCCCCCCACTGAGTGCCGCATGCTCTGGGGGCACTCATATGTGATTGCTCTTGAGACACACAGAGGGGGCTCCACCTGACCCCCCTGATCCCTCCTCACTGGCTGTGGTTGACAATGGCTCCCGCTGCTGTGTCTCAGCCAATGAGGAAGGAGAGTCCCAGGAAAGCCTTGACTCTTGTGCACAGCAATGGATCGCAATCAGGCTTAGGTAAGTATTGGGGGGGGGGTGTTTGAAGGGGGTTTTTACCTTCATGCTAAGAATGCAAAATAGCAAACTGCTAAATACACAGATAAATTATGTATATTAGAGGTGGTATACCTAAGGATTGTGCTTCCACCCATTTATTCCTGAGATTTACACAGTTTTCACGCACAGCACAACCCTGTCTGGCAGGGCAAGAGACCTAATTTTTCTCCTATGCAGTGAAGTACTACAAATAGGTCTTGTACATGAGATTGCAAGAGGTTGATACCAAATCAAATTTAGATAGTCACACTGCTTGCAGTTAAACAATACATAAAAAAGATTCATCATAAGTATTAAAAGTCTAAACCGATTATGAGAATAGGACATACTTACAATTAAGGTGATGAGTTAAGAAGGGATATTTTCCAAATGAACAGCAGTCTTGTGTTTCCAGAAAGAAAACTCCCTGATATATCCTTTAATTGCCTTTTGACCTAACATAGTAGCATCAAACTATGGGCTGCAAAGCAAACCTACACACAAGAATTCCAGTTGCCATACAAGCGTGGCTCCATTTAGAATATGGATTTTACAGTTATCAGTAGTCACTTAACCCTTTTACCTTCTTCCTTTGGTGAAGGTTACCGAAAATACACAAATAAAGTTCTTATTTCCTTTGGTTCTACAGTAAGAACAAAGTCTTCTAGGGTCTTTGCAGGTTGCATTTGATCTGCAAGACAAAAAGAATTTCCTGTCACATGTGGTTAATGAGTTAGCAGACCAAAGCGGTGGACATTAAAAAAAAAAATCATAAAACGCACACCGCTAAACTAATCTACTGCATTTTATCACGGTGTACAATCTTCAGGGGTTTTTATAAAGAAAAAAAGGATTGTTTGCTTCAAACTTAAACAAAAGTGAAGCACAGGAGTCTGTACAGTGACAGCGGGGAGATTTACTAAAACTGGAGAGTGCAAAATCTGGTGCAGCTGTGCATGGTGGCCAATCAGCTTCTAACTTCAGCTTGTTCTATTAAGCTTTGACAAAAACACCACTGTATAACACATGGCACGTGGTTCATTAGAGTGGACCCCTCCCTCACCCACCTTCTCCATTACCACACTTAGTTCTAAATTCTCTATCTTTTCCTTCCCTCACTTTTCTACTATTCTCCTAATATGTCTCTTTCCTCTGTTCATCTGGTTCTGTATGCCAATATAGCACTGTGACAGACCCAATCGGGACAGGAGCTTTTGGAGGGGACTAAGGGCTAGCCTTCTACCCACTGACTATGGCTCATAGAGGAGACCAGGGATTTTGTCTGCTTCTCCCAGTCAGAGCATGGAAAAGAGCTCAGTTCAGCCCCTGATCTCATGGAAAGAGCGGATCATTCTCTAATGATGAACGCTGAGAGCAAAGCTTGGATTAATTCTGAATAAAAGATAATAAAGCTTACCTTCTTTATTGAAAAGCCAAACAAATGAAAGAAAGTATTTGTAATGTACTTTGTGTATTCAGGGTTGTGGGCTTTTTGCCGGACTGTCTGGGGTGGGGTCCCTGATTGGTCTGGGTGCCTGGCTGTTGATTAGCTGTCTATTAATTAGATCACTGTTTAATTAAGTTACTGTTAGCTGCTAGCTGTTCATTAGATGTACTGATGATATTACTGTTTACAGTTTGCATTGTTTAGGATAATGTAATCAAGCTCTTAACTGATTGTGTGTGGCATATAAATTTTGTGTGAATTTTCAGTTCAGTTTCAGTTTGCTCCTAAGCTAGTGTCGTCTAGTTCTTGGGTGCAATGCCCAGCTATACATTCTTCCTGTGTTTCAGTGGCAAGGAAGCAGCTCTCTAACTGAGGCACTCAGGAGGAGTATCAGGTGGTCCATCAAAAGCACAATCATGCTAAGATCCTCGTGCAGGAATGTTTCCTGGTCTCACACTCCCCGTACGGTCTCAGGTCCACTCCGATGAACCACCTGTCACATGTTATACAGTGGTATTTTTGACAAAGCTTATTTGAACAAGCTGACGTTAGAAGCTGATTGGCTACTATGCAAAGCTGCACCAGATTTTGTCCTCTCAAGGTAAATCAACCCCAATGCATACTTGCACATTATGGTAGAAGCGCACCCACACACAGTGGAAATTTAGTTTTGCTTTAATTTTTTTTTTAAATTTACTTTTGCTGCTATGTTTACTAGTACTATATAAAAATACCTTTGTTCTCTTATTAAGCTGCAGAACTTACTATATGACTCTAACATACTTCCTCCTGCATCACCCCAAGTTTGCTAGACTGTTTCAATTGCGAAAAAAAAGAGAACTATGCATTAAACGCATGCATGCATACTAGCACATTAGGATTTAAACGGGGGCCATTTTTTTTCTTTTTTGGTACAGTTTACTACCACTTTAGTTAGTGCCTATGATGCACTGTATATGGAGGATGAAAAAGGGTACTAGTTTGAAAAAATTTTTATTGATACTATATTTGTGACATGATCATTTAAGATAGTTATAGGCATATCTAGATACAGATTCTAGATTTTTTTTTTAAATCTTTTTTTTTTTAAAGGAATGTCATGTTGATGAAAAGGGGGGTTTATAACCCGTTTCTTTTCCTTTTATTGCCATCTGTGTCCTTTTGGGGAGATTTTGCTCCACTCCCATACCCAAAACAGGAAGTAAAAAGAATTTCCTCCAAAGAAAGGGAAATCCTTGTTGTCACCAAGGTCCCCAAAAATAATGTCCTCACTGGAAAGTTTCATCTCTATTACTGTTTTGGGGACAACTCAAAATTTGACATTTTTGTTTTAATTTCCCTTTTGATGATAATGGTAAGAAGGACAAAGAGGATGAATCTCCCTATTGGGGACACAGACAGCAATAAAAACTGAAGGGGGGGGGGATCTAATTCCTCTCCACCACTCTATCCAAAACTCAAACATTTTTAGCCTTTATTTCTACTTTATTTTTTTAACAGATGTCATTTCATATGTCTTGATCCAAAGTAGAACCTGAAAAGTCCCAATATTTGTAGTTCTTTTTCATATTATGGCATAATTTCTTAGGATGTGGCACATACTGATATTTTTACGCCACTCTATTGGTTATCAACTCATATCAAAAAGTGAAGAGAAGAATTGGCTTCTTCTTTTAATTTTTTGTGCTACTTAAAAAATCAAATGCATCAATGTAGTATTAAGTTTTGTTTTTCTATTAATATAAGATCTGTGTAAAAGGCAAAAAAAAAAAGGAAACATTTTGAGTGACCGTCTCCTTTAACTCACCTTTGGTCTTCATCGTGCGCTGTGTGGTTTTCCATTGCCATCTCTCCATGGTGTTTAGATGCCAAGTTCCAGTAAGCGAACGCTCTTCCACAAATGTCACATCACCCAATCCTTTTAAAAGAGACTAAGCACAATACTATATTTATTACACTCATTCTACCTTAAAAGAAAAACCATAAATTACTTTATATTATATAGAATATCAGAAGACAAATATTATTAAAATGACCCTGAGCAATATGTGCTCAAAAAAAAGGAGAGGTTGCCTTTTAGAGAAAAACACATGTTAAAGCATATTAACTAATTTACAGATACATGTAGCTGAAATTATATGAAAATCAAAGACTTAGGGCCCATTCGCACTACAATGTATGTGAGAGAGCAGGAAAACACATGTGCAATGACATAAGTTGGCATGCTGTGTTGTATTATAACATGCCCTTCTCATCTCAGTTTTTTTTTTTTTTAACATGTAAAGAGTCTCCGCCATGGCAGAGGAGCCAAACTTGTGCTGGCCTGATGTTTTTCCTGTGCACTATTCTTCCTTCTACTGGCCACAGGTGCTATATATTCTTTTTTTTTTTACTCCCACTGACCACCAAGCTTGTAGCACTTTTTACTCCCATTGATGCTGAGGCATCTTCTACTCCCACTGGCCACAGTCTGTCCCCCAAAGTCTGAAAGATGTATAAATAAATCATAAATAAATTCAGCACATTCATACCTATAGATGCTATTGTGTCACTGGTTAAAGACTGTGCCTTCTGTATATAAACCACAGGATACAGTCTGCAGCAGTGAGGAAGTGGAACCCACCTTGAGGTTAACACTAGCTGGTTTGGAGAGAACTGGGTCTTCATCAGCCTCATAGAGGTGCTGAATCCTAAGAAGTACTCGATGAAAATCTGCAGCAGTTTTCTGTTTATTACCTGCAAGCATTCATAGAAAATTGTGTGAGAAATCGGTACTCCATCTCCATTTTTTAATTTAAGAACAGAGAGGGAGAAAGAGACAGAGGCTCTTTTAGATTTTTTTTTGTCTGTACATCATTGGGGAGAATTTTTTTGATCACTTGCTGTCTTGGTGACCAAAATCCAAAATCTACTGTTAACCACTTGAGCTCCTGAGGATTTACCGCCCTTAATGACCAGGCCTCTTTTTGCTACTCGGCGCTGCACTAATTCAACTGATAATTGCGCGGTCGTGCAATGCTGCACCCAAACGAAATTTACATCCTTTTTTTCACACAAATAGAGCTTTCTTTCGGTGGTATTTGATCACCTGTGCGCTTTTTATTTTTCACGCTATAAACAAAAAAAGACCAAAAATTTTGAAGAAAAACAATATTTTTTACTTTCAGCTATAAAAAATATATGGTAAACTCAAAGTTAGTTATAAATTTAGGCCAAAATGTATTCTGCTACATGTTTTTGGTAAAAAAAAATCCCAATGAGTGTATATTGATTGCTTTGTGTGAAAGTTATAGTGTCTACAAACTATGGTATAGATACTGCAATTTACGTCATTTTTTTGCTATACAGCGCTGTGCTAGTTTAACGGACAATTGCGCGGTCATGCAATACAGTACGTAAATGAAATTTATGTCCTTTTTTCACACAAATAGAGCTTTCTTTTGGTGGTATTTGGTCGCCTGTGCATTTTTATTTTTTGTGCTTTGAAAAAAAAAAGCTGACAATTTTGAAAAAAAAAAAACAATATTTTGGACTTTTTGCTATAAAACATGTACAGTAAAAAAAAATTTAAAAATCAAATTTCGTCATAAATTTCGGCCAAAATGCATTCTGCGACATGTCTTTGCTAAAAAAAAAACCCAATACGTGTAAATTAATTGATTTACGTGAAAGTTATAGCATTTACAAATGACGGGAAAGATACTGGGATTTTTTATTTTTTTTTATACTAATAATGGTGGCAATCAGTGACTTATGGCGGCGATCAGCGACTTATGGCGGCGATCAGCGACTTATGGCGGGACTGCGGCAGACATTCTGACACTGGGGGGGAACTGACTTGGGGTCACGGACATCCCCAGTGACACCAATACAGTGATCAGTGCAAAAAAAAACCCACTGACACTGTACTAATGGCACTGGGGAGGAAGGGGTTAACTTTATTTACTGAAAGGGTTAACTGTGTGAGGGGAGTGTTTTTACTAGGGGGGTGGGGGTGTGTACTGCACAGGGGGGACATGCTGATCAGGAGAGATAAACTCTTCTCTCCAGCTCACCATGTCAGCAGCTGACAGGGAACTGACAGAAAGCAGAGCTACTGCAGCCCTGCTCTCTGTCAGTGATTGCCGCTAATCGGCGGGACACAGCCGGTAATGAACAGCTGTGACCCGGCGACTGACATCCACGGCCGTGATCGGTGGGACAGGTAGGGCGGTGGCGTGCCTCGTGCACGCCCCCTACCTGTTTTGCAAACACACGTTTTAAAACGTGGTTTTGCCCAGCAGTGCCGCCCTGCCGCCGTATTTCTACAGTGGCTGGGCGGCATGTGGTTAATGGACTTCTATGGACAGTTACTATGCAAAATATATAAAATAAATACTCTATATACCAAGAACAACCAAGACCATAAAGCAAAGTCTTGTCCTACCAAAAAGACAATTTATTACTATAAAAACATACATGTATACCTATCGCCATTAATATCCACCCATCATGCCTCCATAACCTTGTAGAAATACTCCTCATTAGCAAAAATAGAGGAACTGACAATATGTCCCCTGGGGAAGCGAAACCTTCTACTGTGTCCTGGTCACCACAAAGGGAGCAAGGCAACATCTCCCCAATAGGGACAGAGGCAGCAATAAATACCTGATGGTAGGACTAACCATGGTCCCCTCTGCTAAAAGAGAGTGTTTTGTATTGTAGTCTCCCCATTGGAAAGATTTCCCTTCACTCCTTATGTCCCCAATCACCTGAATACCAAGTGGAAGATGGCAATCTTCCAAACATATGCAAAGGCTGCAATAAAAGTGAGAAGGGAGTTTCCATAATTAAATTCTGGGACTTGTAGAGCACAGGACAGTACTGAAATATTTCTACAGAATTACTTGTGAGTCACTTGTGATTTAAATTAATATGTGTTATGGTTCGCTGGCATTACTCACATGCTCATTAAATGTGTATATGTTCTTATAAAATTCAAAAAATGCTGTGCTCCAAAATAAATAAAATAGTGATAATATCTCTTGTGTGCTAATAATCAAACTGCAATCTCATAATAAACTAACTGTGCTAAATAACAAATTTCAAATATTCATATTTCAATGCATATAATTTCAATCAACATGAAAAGCAGATTAATCATCTGTGTTAAATACTGCAACTGAAATTGTGAAAATACTCAAAAGTGCTAATATATCTGATATAAGCAATACACAAAAGACTCTGTGAATAAATATATAATGAGAGTCCCAAATTGAAACTGGTACTATGATCCAAAATATAATTGGTGAATTTCTGTGACTCCTTATTAAGATTTTGCTGTGCGCTCAACTCCCTGTAAGCCTAGTAGATAGGCTTACTATGCTTTTTGTTCACAATGGGAACACTTGTGGCATCATCTAATGGATAATGGATGGATATCCCTCAGGAGCTTCTTCGGTAATCCTCTCCTTATATTCCAGTATCCCTGTTGGGATCTCTCTCTCCTTCCAGTGCTGCTTTCTCCTCCTTCTCCCCTATCCTCGGTTATCCTCTGTAGCAGAGTTAATAAATAAAGAAAGAGGAATATAGTGCTTTCTCCTTTTTAAGGTAATCTTTATTGTGTGCCTGGTAATGCACTCACATTATTTAAAAACAATATGCGCTTGATAAAATCAAAAATCCTCTGCTGTGTATGCCGCATCCCCCTGATGAAGCCACGTGGACCTGTGGCATAATGCGTAGGAGAGGGACTACGCCGTAACTACACACCCGGTGGACGGCGAGTATACACTGTGTGCGGCGCACACAGTAGAGGATTTTTGATTTTATCATTATATATTTATTCACAGAGACTTTTGTGTATTGCTTATACCAGATATAATAGCACTTTTGAGTATTTTCACAATTTCAGTTGCAGTATTTAACCACTTGCCGTCCGCCTGCTGTTTATAAATGGCAGGGCAGTGGCAGTCCAGGGGCGGGTTGCCGTTCATAAACGGCACCCGCCATTTCTAGCTGTGCGCGCTCCCTGGGAGCGCGCAGCACCGCGATAAGGTGCCTGCTGTGTCCTCTGGACACAGTGAAACACCGATCGTCGGGCAGGACCTCTGTACGAGGTCCCAATCATGTGATCACTGATTGGCCAATCAGTGATCACATGCAAAGTAGTAAGCAAGATGTCACTTCTGACATCATTGCTTACTACGTGTGAAATCTGTGAATGATCACAGAGGTCACATGGTACAACGCTATTCACAACAGCCTTGTACCATGTGACAAGCTGTGACCAATCACAGCTCACTCAGTACTTCTCAATGACTGCAAGAATGCAGACAGAGAGAAAGAGAAATGATTGCTTTTACATCCTATATGGGTGTAAAAAAAAAAAAAAATTCTTCATCACCCCCCACAAGTAGTACAGTGTCCCCATGGTGACACTGTACTGCTAGCGTGACAGTATGTAAAAAAAAAAAAAAAAAAAAAATAATAATATAAAAAAATAAAATAAAAATGTAAAAAAAAATGTTTAAAAATTATAATTTTTGGTTATAAACTAATTTGGATTTTTTTTTTTTTTACTAAAAAAATAACGGAATAAATTTTGGCCAAGATTTATGATGAAATATTATTTATTTGCAAAATTTTATTAAAAAAAAAACACTTTTTTTCAAAATTTTTGGACTTTTTCATTTACATCGCAAAAAAAAATAAAAATCCCAGCGGTGAATAAATACCACCAAAATAAAGCTTTATCTGTCTCAAAAAAATTGTAAAAATGGTAAAAAATTCATATGGGTACAGTATTGCATGACCGCGCAATTCTCATTCAAAGTGTGATAGCGCTGAACGCTGAAAATTGCTCTGGACAGGAAGGGGGTAAAAGTGTCCGGACTGGAAGTGGTTAACACAGATGATTAATCTGCTTTTCATGTTGATTGAATTTATATGCATTGAAATATGAATATTTGAAATTTGTTATTTAGCACAGTTAGTTTATTATGAGATAGCAGTTTTTATATTAGCACACAAGAGATATTATCACTATTTTGTTTATTTTGGACCAGGACAGTACTGCCTGTTTACTAGATAGTACTTATTGTGTACTCATTCCACCAGCTGCAGGCTGGCTGGTTGAGCCCACCCCTCCTTAAAGGCACAGAAGCGCACTGGACACCCAGCATATAGCACAATGGAAGCAAAGGTGTCCAGTACACCCTCCCACCAACTTACCAACAATACAAACAAACGGCAACTACCCTAACCTATAACTGGCCTTCGCAGCAAGAAGCACATGGAAGGGTGACACATGTCAAAAAAACAACAAAGAAAAATTCCCAGCTCAACTTATGGACCAGCCTGCAACCAACCAAACTGTTCTGTCTAACAGTTAGAAACAGGGGTTTAGTTTGCACATATTTGCAAATACGTGTGTAAGCAAACTGAACCCTTTTGTAACTTGAACTGTAAGGCAGGACAATTTTGCTTTGTTGTTGTTTGACATGCATTGCCCTCCCATGTGCTCCTTGCTGGGAAGGCCAGTTATAGGTTGGGGCAGTTGCCCTTTGTTTATACTGTTTGATTATTGCGACGGCAGATGTCAGAATACAAAACCCTGGAGGGAGGATTCGTCAATCTCCACTGTTAGCAGGAATACAGGCTGAATGAAAGAAATCTACAGTATACAGTACGTGTATGGCCAGCTTTAGATTCAGGCACAACAGGTTCATTTTAAATCTCTTATTTGTTTTCTCACCTTCCACTTTCAAGGAAAGTTACAGATATAAAATAGTGAAGTTCAATCATTTTTTCATATATATTTTCAATTTGTTTATCATGCAGTACTTTAATATTTTATTACACATAGCAAGCATGTTTGTAACCATTTACGTTTTGTGCCCAATATAAACAATGGTACAGAAATACATGTGTATTATAGGAGTGCTGGGCCCCTTGAATGAAAGAGGATACAGTGCTCATCATAAATGAGTACACCCCAACAGATTTGTCAGAAAACCTTTCCTTTCCTTTCAGAATCAACATTTTCTATGCAACAGTATACTACAAAATACTCCCACAAATGCGGGCCATTGATTGCAAACAAGATTTGTTAATTTTCACACACAAAAAAGTATTTTTCCTAACAAATGCATTCAAGACCATGTTGCAAAAATGAATACACCCCAATGAAAGGAGCAAAGCTAAAGTTTAGACAATAAAATCGTAATTAACAAGAATTCAACTACAGGCGAGTCTAATTATTCATTAAATAGGTGTCCTGCAGACAGTTGACTATAAAAGGGCATTACTTTACAAAGAAAACCCCTTCCCATTTCATATCACAAGGCCTGAGAAAGAAAATAATTTCTTTACACAAGAAATGTGAAGGCGAAGAAGAAGATTAGCAAAGCTTTACTTATCAGTCAGAATACTGTAGCAAAAGTGATACAAAAATTTAACAAAGATGGAACTGCAACCATCTCACAGAGCCGTCTGCTGAAGTGAACACCTCGACAGGAGCGTTTTCTGATGAGAAGGATTGAAGAAAGTTGCCATGCAAGTTCAGTGCAGTTTAGGTAAAGAAGTAGAAACCCAAACTAGGGTAATTGTTTCCCGTGACACAATACGGCGTACACTGCAGACGAATGGCATGCATGGGTGCCACGAAAGAAGGCTCTCTAAAGCACAAAATAGCCTGCCTAGAATTTGCCACGGCCCATGATGAAAAAGAAGACGACTATTGGGACTCTGTACTCTGGAGTGATGAGACAAAGATAAATGGTTTTAGAACGGATGGCTTCAAAACTGCAAGACGTCGCAAAGGTGAGGAGTACAAAGAAAAATACATGGTGCCTACAGTGAAACATGGTGGTGGCAGTGACCTTCTGTAGGGCTGCATGAGTGCTACTGGTATCAGGGAGCTGCATTTCATTGATGGTATCATGAATTCACAGATGTACTGCTCTATATTGAAAGAGAAGGTGCTACCATCACTCCGAGACCTTGGTCGTCGTGCACTTTTCCAACATGACAATGATCCAAAACACACATCTAAGGCCACTGTTGCATTTCTGAAGAAGAACAGGGTGAAAGTGATTCAGTGGCCAAATATTTCTCCTGATCCGAACCCAATCGAACACCTATGGGGAATTCTGAAGAGACAAGTTGAGCATCACTCTCCATTCAGCATCCAGGCTCTAAAAGAGGTCGTTCTTGAAGAATGGAAAAAGATAGATGTTGCAATGTGTTGGCAACTTGTTCATTCCATGTCTAGAAGACTTGGTGCTGTCCTTACAAATCATGGAGGTCATACAAAATACTAGATGTAATAGTTTTTGTTGTAGGGTGTATTCATTTTTGCATCAACTTATTTGATTAACATTGAAGATTTTGCAATCTAAGTTATATTATTAACCTTACTTTCATGTAATGAGCTAAACAAATGTTCTATATAACTCCGTTTTGTCAATATATTTTGGAAATTGTTCTTATGTTCATTGAGATATTGATTACAATCTTAATTTTCAAAAGGGGTGTACTCATTTATGCTGAGCACTGTAGGTAGTACAATTCCTGACGTTTGGAGGCAGCTGTCAACAATGATATCTCAAAGAGTCCCAAAAACGTTTACAGGGTATTGAAAGAATGAGATCGCCACTCCGATTAATTCATTATTATTTACTTTGACATTGTTTTAAATACTCTACAATACCTGCATACTATACAATACCCTGCAATATAAACATTGGGGAAGAAGTAATAATAATAAACGAGACACAAAATTCCTCCCTGTTCCCAATATGGAGGTTGTGTAATTGTAACGAATGGTCTGTGTTAAACCTTGACTTCCTGTGAAGACAACAGTCACCATCATGTTTATTGTGCAAGCGATCACTTAGAGTTTGACAATGCTGTAGAAGACATACCTTTGTAGAAGTTGTGTATATGCTCTGTGTGGTTTGAAGAATACCTCCAGCCAGGAACACTGAGGATCTGAAGGTGAATGTTGGGTGGTAATACAATGGGGACAGATGGCATTTTTTCAGTTGATGATTTTCCTGAATGGCAATAATTATTATTAGATAAAACAGGCTATTAACAAGAAGTTAAAGTGTTACTAAACCCACAACAATAAAATTTGTCTGTATATGAAGTAAAGCATGCATATTGTACTCACTGTGGAACCTAAGGGGTTAATCCTGCGCATTGTGTAAAAATGCTGTTTGATCCAGTTTTTTTCTGATCCTCCCCTTCTTCCAGTGTCCCCCTCTTATCTGATGATAAGATATATCATATGGAGTCACTTTGCAAATGCTCAGTTTTTTTTCTTGGGAGAGTGCATGCGATCAGCACAGGGCCAATCAGCACTGTCCAGACATAGGGTCAGGGGTTCTGCATCCTCCTACAGCAGAATGAAAACTCCTCCTACAAGCTTTAACTAGTGCTCTGCTGGACACTGATAGAAGTCACAAGACTGCTCTAACTGCTGATGAGAAAAGGTATCTAGCAGTTTATATTTACTAAAATAATTGCATTTCCATGTTGTGTGTACTGTGGGAGAACAGATATAGTAAATGCAGGCTCCTGGGTTTAGTAACACTTTAACACACCAATGTAATACTAAAAAGTAATCTCTATATTGGTGGAACTTAGATACATAGAATACGCAAGTTTTGTAACAGTGCTAACACTGTTAAACAAACATTTTGTCTTTTTGACTGTAGTAGAGCAGGATTACATCCTTGGGGATATCATCTCCACCTCTGGCCTACCATGACAGCCAAGGCTCTGCTGTCAGCTCAATTCCTTTGCTTTCCTCTCTGGAGTGCATTTCCCATACAATGTAAATAAGTTTACTAGAGGCCAGCATCACTGTATTGCTGTCACAACTTTAGCTGGTGGCAAGACCTTACCACCATGATGAGGAACAGTATGCTTTGAAGACTCGAATCCTACTACACTTCAAACCAAAAAGAAACAAAAAAAAAAGAATTCCTTCTCTCTTCCATCTCTGGTCTCTTCAATTGATTTCAATTGATTAATTGCACCTATCCTCTCCTTAATTTGCCTGTGAAATGAATATATTAAAGGAAATGTGTAAAGGTTCTGTACAATTTATAGGGTTAGGATGGGAAGGCCAAATTAATTAATTTTTTTTTACCCACTCTGTTACCGATTTAAAAATAAGAAAAACATTCTGTGAAGGAAAAGTACAACCACCTGATCAAATACCACAGACTCCAATCATTGCACTTCTGCAGAGCTACAGCAGAATCTTCAGAATCTGACACTTCTGGGTTTGTTGGATGCCTGGGCACCTTGCTGTTCACTATAGTCTACCAGCCAGCTGGTACTTCACTACTGTGTCCCCGGGACATCCTAGTGTTACAGATATAGGTTCACTGGCTCTCCACTGGGACACAATAGTGTTGTAATGGCTGCAGGGTGAAAAAACAGTTTGCAGAATGGGACACAAGCGTCTGAAACATCCAGAAGTGTTAAGTGCTGAAGATTGTGCTGGCAACAGTAGACCTGGAAAAGAGTGAAGATCAGACGCAGGTAACTATTATATAAATCCAAGGTCGGTGCTACCACTACGCCACTAGGGCACACTCCCTGCCATGGCTGGATCTGGGGGGGGGGGGGGGGGTTGTGCTGAGATGGGATATGCCCCCCCCAAGATTTCCTTTGTTGGCCCCCCCCCCAGGCCGTTCCTTCTATGGACACTGTATCTGGCCCCTTAGTGCCTTCCCCCATCCGCATATTCATGGCTGGGGACAAGGGGAGAGCAGCCTGGAGCAGTAAAGCCTGCAAGGGGAAAATCACAGGAGAGAGTCAGACGTGTGGGCTGTGCTCTCCTCTCCTGTCAGTGGAGTGATCCTCCACAAAGCAGATGACACAGCATGTTCAGTGTTTGATTCATTTCCTGGCTCCCTGCTGCCGAGAGATGAACGGTCATTGAAGGAGATGGGGGACGGGGTAATTAAACTGTACAGCCTGTGTACAGCCCAATCCAAGTGCGATTCTGTGTCATCTGTTGTATGGAGGATCCCTCCACTGACAGGAGTGAGAGCAAAGCACAACTCATACCTCTTCCTGGTTTCCTACCTGTATGTTCGGGGGAGGGAGGGTTAGTGTACAGGCCGGGGGAACTGTGCACAATGAAGGTGTGAGGGGGTGGGTAACAATCATTTGTTCTGGGATGAGAGGCTTATGCAGGAAGGGAGATTGGGGGTATTTGTGCTGGGAAGGGAAATGGGGATGATCGGGGGGGGGGGGGGGGGGGGGTTGTAATAGCAGAAGAAATGGGGGAATATGTGCTTGGAGTAGGAGGGAGATTTGGGTAGGAGGGGGTGGTTGGGGGGATTTGTGCTAAGGGGGGGATTTGGATAAGGTAGGAGGATTATATGCTGGGAAGGGTAATTCGAAGAGGTTTCATCTAGAGAAGGGATTTGAGAAACTTTGCCCTAGGTGGGGGGATTGAAGAAAGAGGATTGGTGCTGGAAGGGGGGGTTTGGGAGGATTTGTGCTAGGAGGGGGGAATTTGTGCTAGAAGAAGGAATTGGGGGAATTTGTGTTAGGAGAAGGGATTGGGGGAATTTGTGCTAGGAGAGGGAATTTGTGTTAGGAGAAGGGATTGGGGGAATTTGTGTTAGGAGGGGAGATTTGGGGGGGGATTTGTACTAGGAGGGGGGATTGGGGGGAAGTTTTGGTAGGAGGGAGGATGGGGGGGGGGGGGGGGTTTTGTTAGGAGGGATGATGGGGGGGGGGGGGGGAGGATTAGTGCTGGGATTCGTGCTAGGAGGGAGGATTGGGGGGGTTTGCTAGGAGGAGGGATTTGGGGGAGAGTGAAAGATTTAAGGGGAAAGAGGATGTGTACTAGAAGGAGTGGAGTAGTTTTATTTTTTTTTATGGGGGGTGCAAGTAGCTGGTCTTGTCTAGGGCACAAATAATCTAGCACCGGCCTTGTATAGCTCAATGTTTTAGTTTGCTTTCCTCTCTACACAAGTCTAAGGGAACACAAACGCAGCTTGAAACAGGTCAAATGCACCTGTAATAAACCTAGAATGATCCTAGAAGTGCTTTAAACTGATGCAAGCTTGGTGGCCCACTGAAGTTTGTTCACCACGGCCCTAATTTTTCTTGGTGACTTTTAGGTGTCCAGTGTATAAGAAATGTTGCATATGTATATGAATGCTTCATTTTTATATAATTAGAAAGCAGCACTTTAGGCTCATTTTCACATTTGCCACACCTTTGTTGGTTTGTAGTGTCTTTGTTTTAAAAAGACTGGTGTTTACTTGGCTTAATAGCTCAATCTGAAATTTAGACATAGGTGAATGATCAGACATGTGATTCACCCTTCCCATCCAGAAATGTTCATAAATGTTGCACTGAAGCCACAATTTTTTTTCATTTTGGATAGAATAAGTAATAACAACCCTGCCGTTTGTTTGCCACATGTGTTCCATTGTGGGAGATTATTCTTGGCCTTTACACACAACAGGAATTGGTAAAAAATATCTCTATAGAGTATTGGATATCCCCTCTTAGACAGCTGTCACAGGAACAAGTGTCTCCAATGGGAAGATTTACACTCCATTCTTGTCCTAGTGACAACCTAAATGGAATCATTCTTGCATGACTGGCATCAAAAGTCAAGTCAAGTTTGCTCATTATACATTTTCTGATTACTAGTTCATTGCTTTAGCTTTACAGTTTCTCTCAGTGTTAGGAGGATTGTGGCTCTCCCTTTGTTGGCTGATACACTTGAATTCAGAAAATATAGCTATCAGATCTGTACAATTTATCACAGTAACAATTATGTTATAATAGCAAGAATTTACCTTTACCTTTAAAAGCAATAAACATGACCAGCGGCCTATGTTCTAGAGACAGGCCCAATCTCTGGTACATAGAAGTGGTTACGGTCTTTGATCCCATCAGAAGCCAAAGAGTTGGTCTTACTACAGAAGTGTCATTTAAAGTCAGATTGTAATTCAAGTCCCATTCCAGGTTATTCCACAGTCTCCTATGCAGCATGATCTAGAGAAGAAGTTAATGTTCAAAAAACAAAATAAGCTCAATTTTCAGCACATTGTACATCTCTGGACTTGGACTCATAGTGCATGTTTTTAAGAAGTTAATGATACCTCCACTTGGCCATTTTCCAGACTGGAGACTCCATGTGATCGCTCAGCCATAATGACTAGTCTTGTGTTCTCATCCTCTATATAAGCCATACGAACCATTGGGTAATAATTCTATGAGAGAAGACGTGTAAGTCCAAGGCAATTTTTCTCAAACTTTTTACCAAGGGACTCTTGAAATGATGTTCAGGTCTCAGGGAAATTCTACTAAAATCATTATATCTACAGCTCTCGTTACATACAGTTGTGTTCAAAATAATAGCAGTCAGACATCACTAACCTGATCAATCACTGTTTTTGGTAGAAATGATATTTCTACATGGCAAATAATTTACTTACAGGTGTAGTAGAGTAATAGAAATCCAACAGACCCAACAGTCATGACATGCATGCTGCTGATTCTGTGTAATTGAATCACTAATTGAAAGGGGCATGTTCAAAATAATAGCAGTGTGGAGTTCTATTAGTGAGGTCATTCATTCTTTGAAAAACAGGTGGCAATTATTGCCCTTATTTAAGGAAGGAAGGCAGCAAATGTTGTACATGCTGGTTACAGTGTATTTCTCTCTAAAATTCTGAGGAATTTCCAGACATTGTTCAGAAGAACAGCGTACCTTGATTAAAAAGTTGATTGGAGAGGGGAAACATATAAAGAAATGCAGAAAATGATAGGCTGCTCAGCTACAACTAAATATTCATTAAGTGATTCAAAGGAAAGCAACATCTTCAAACATTTTTCAGTTTATATAGTGAATGTTTGAGTTTGTAAAGAAGAATACAAACACTGCTATTTTTTTGAACCGTCTAATATTCACTTTTCTTCAATTTTTTTTTAGAGGAAGAACACAAATTTGATATATTTTTCTTCATGTTTTGATTTGGAATAGAATGTGTAGTGTTCCCAATGCATTTGTGTGTATGCAAATAAAAGCTATTAGAAGGATTTTGAGCTTTATTCAACACACTGCTATTATTTTGAACACAACTGTAGGCCAAACCAAGTTGGTGCTCAATGGGAAGACTTCTTACAGTGGTGGTCATTTAAAAGACAACAAAGTCCTCTAACATGATTACAGCTAGAAGTAGTTACTAATCTGAAAAATGAAAAGAGAGGTTGCATTAGTGGTATCGATACCAATGGCTTACCAAGTGGTATTGGTGCTAGAAGTATGCAGGTACCTTTAAAATATCAATCCACCATGGCTCACTGTGAAAGACACCCCTAGCAACCTCTGGAGGAACCCTAGTTGAGAAATGCTGGATATGCTCTTAATGACATTCACACATCTTTAGCTAAAAGGGTAAACATTTTACTAGATTTTGGAAGAGCTGCAAATTTTCCTTTATTTCTATCCATGTCTCCATTTTGGGAGTTTGTTCCTCACTTCCTGTTCCAATAAAACAACAAAGTTAAATCAAATCTCACAAAATTCAAGAAAATACCACCTCTGCTGTAACAGGTGTACGTCACTGTTAGATTTTTCCCTCCCTCTCTGCTTTGATTTCAAAAGACAATCATGGGGTATCCTGTCATTTTCCGCCCATGTCACCTGAACAGGAAATGAGGAAGTTTTTCTAATAAGGACACAATCAGCACTTAAATTAAAACTTAAAAACATTTGCGTTTAAACTTAAGCCTAATAACCTGGTTGTTATAGGCAATAGAACAAGCACGATTCTTGTGAAAAATTACTAGAAAGTAAGCAGAGCCTGCATAAATATTGATCGTATGTATTATGGTAATATACAGTGGTGTTGATGGCCAACAAACCTGAAAGAACTGTAATCGGCTTTGGAATAAATCAGCTGTAGCTGTGCTGTAAACCGACAGTTCTGGATGTACAGTTGGCAAAATGGACATAAAGGAATGATTTGCATGGTTTTGCCCACTATACTAAAGTGTGCAATAATCTGTAAAATTTGTGATAGAATGAGGCACGTAAATACTTTCTCTTTTAAGAAGGCTTTACTGTGTTTCTTTCATTGGACAAGGTGGAGAGGCAGGGTGGTGACATCACAACCTCCACCTTGTCCAATAAGGGAATGGCATGCACTTATTGAAAAAAAAATGTAAGGAGTTCTGTGAATAATGCCCCCTGTAGTTACTATGCAACAGAGCAGCGGCTTGGCGTGGGATGAAGAAGACTTACTGTAGTAACAGCAACTACTACAGCGATTTCCAACTTATACAGGAATCCTGCAGATATGAAATATTCATACTCACATTGGTCCAACCCGGACCAGTGTAATTATGTAATAAAATCCATACCTGGAATTCAGATTTAAGTTTACTTGTGGTGTAGGTGTAACAAAAGCCAATCCATGTAAGCACCTCTGGAAGTATTATGGTCTGTTCCAACCCCTGTAGCTGTCTCTACTGCTGGTGCGTTTGAGGAGAAAATGATAAATGAAAGTATGCAAAATACAAAAGAAATTCCAATACTGAAAACTATTAATACTATTATATGCATTCTCTGCATACAATTATCGAGTGCAATATTTTGATGAGAGTTATCCTTTAGTTGCTAAGATTACGGGTAGGGCCATTTTAAGTGTTGGGGTCACAATAAGTATTAGGGATAAGATTCTACACATAAGAGTCGATGTCTTGTAAACTGTTAGGTCTCTTTCACGCGAAGGGCCTGATCAGGTCCACCTGTTGGTTTTTTAGGCAGACCTGACCGGATGGTCTATTCTCCCCTATGGACCGCTGGGTGTAAATGGACTTGTGTCCGTTTATACTTGCCTACCTACAATCTGAGCTGTTTCGCTTAAAAAAATAAATAAAACGTAATCGATCTGTCCTGCTCCGTCTAAGCAAATCAGATCAGAGGGCAGTTGGGTGTAAACAGACAGCTGAGTCAGTTTACACCTGGCCACCCATAGAGCAGAGTGGGCTCTGTCCATGTCTGCTCTGCATAAAGCGGTCATGGAACGGTCATGTGCCACTCTGCTCTGCTCAGCAGGGAATCAGCGGACAGATCCTCTGCTGATCAAAACGGAGTCTGCCCTGTGTGAAAGGGGCCTTAAACTGGCCCTGAAATCCTAAAGCCCCGTACACTCGGACCGAATAGCAGGCAGTATTAGCCAGTTCAATAGAAACCGGCCAACATTCACCATACAGCCCATGGGTATGGCAGTCGGTCTGGGTTGTGTCGAAGGGGCATGACCGAAAAAGGTCTGTCAATTGGCTTCTGATCAGCGCTCTCAGCTGATGGCTGTGAGCGCTGACCGATGTGTTCTGGCGTACCCCTTTCAGAACACAATATCTCATTGGGGAGATCGCTGTACTAACATCCGATTGTTAGTACAGGATCTCCTCCTGAGTTCTTCAGTTTTTTTTTGTTCAGCCCACAAAAAACTGCGTTCTAGGCTTAAGATTTTGCACTCTTCTCTGATAGCTATGCAATCATAAACAAAAAACAAGGCTGACATACTATGTGCTTTTTTTAAAATCTGTGTACCCTGGCCACTGTGTTGTTTTTGTAGGCTTTGAAATCCCTTTTTTGCATTTGGTATCCGTTGTTATCAGTATAGATCCTTTTGTTGGTCGGGAGACTTGTTTGTGTTCTGATTACTGCTTCCCGGTTAACTTCCAAAGGCCCAACTCTGTACTGCTGTTCAATATACCGGCACAGGAGAGATTTATCATAACCATGAGGGACATTGTAGATTCTGGAGATGATTGTATAGTTGTAGCTTTCTGCACGTACATGACTGAAGGGGATAAAACAGAACACCAGTCAAGGAACAGTACAGAGGTAAACCTGTGCTGTATGAGGCACATTGCCTAAATGACATGATCACGGTTGTAGCATAATATCTTGCACCATCTCCACAAAAGGACATCAGTGTTCAAGCATCTACATATTTTAACTTATTAAATAAAGCAGTGAATTAAAAAAAAAGAAGATAAAAAAAGTAAACCACAGAAACAGCTTCTAAGGCCCATTTATAAAACAGGCCTAAGGAGGAGAAAAAAAACAGAAAAAAAAGAAGTGCTTTTGCCCGCAATGACCAATCAAATTTATTAAGACTCCCAGAATCACACTTTTAGTTAATACAATAAAAAACTATAATATTAATTTACCTAGTACCTTGTACCTAGAAAGGTGAAGACATATTTTTTAATTAAAGTGTTACTAAAACCACAACAGTAAAATCAGTCTGTATATGCAGTAAAGCATGCTTGTTATACTCACTGTGGAACCTAAGGAGTTAATCCTCTGCATTTCATTAAAAGGCTATTTGATCCTTTCTTCTCTGCCCCTCCTCTTGTTGGAATGACCACCTGATACAGACTGAACCCGTAGTAACATGCACATGCTCAGAGTTTGGTGTGTATTGCTATAGACAGGGTTTTTTTTTTTTTTTTTGGATGCATGTGATCAGCACAGGGCCAATCACCACTGTCCAGACAAGAGGGTCTGAGGTTTCACATCCTCCTAGAGCAGAAAGAAAACTCCTCCTACAAACTTTAACCAGTGCTCTGCTGAAGTCACAAGACTGCTCTAACTGTTGATGAGAAAAGGTATTTAGCAGTTTATATTTACTAAAATAATTGCATTTCCATGTTGTGTGTACTGTAGGAGACCAGATATAGTGAATGCAGGGCCCTGGGTTTAGTAACACTTTAATGCACAGTTTCATGCAATTGAATTGAAAACACAGCGTTTAGGTACACAGTGTTTAAGTAGAACGACCATCAACATGAACTCTTAAACAGTTTTTTAAATGTATTAATTTGTTGAAATCAGACAACCAATAGGACCCTTCAATATCTGAACCAGCTTTCTAGTAGAACTGGTACTGTACAAGCCTCTAGTGGACTGGGCTGGTATCTGTGGAACGGGAAGGGGATCTCCTCCACTTTTCTTTTTTTGTTTTTATAAATTATTTATTTTAAACCCACAGAGCAAAACATAGTTTACAGATTTCTCAGTCATAGAAAAATTCCAGAGGCTTACTGAAATCAGTAGTCTCAACTGCTCTGAGGGTTTATTATTTATAAAAAATATTTTGTTTTTTAAAAATTAAAACAACTAACAGGATAACACAGATTTAGAAGATTAGCAACTTATATGTGCAGACATCTTCCCAATCCCCACAGATCTTGAACCATAACACAGATTCACTCTCCTTTAAAATAAAGAAATATCTGGGTTGTACATGGCAACTAGTCAAATTTTTCCGTTTCATAGGAAAAGGAGATGTAGTAGACGTATTTTCTGGAGATTGCATTTGTACATCACATGGGATGTGAATCGTTCTACATACTTTGTAAAGTGCAGTATACTACATTGCCTTCATTCTCTGTGTATCACAAAATCAAAATCATATGGCTATTGGAACAGAATTCACTAATCATGGAAATAATTATTAATCTGACATGTCTGCCACATTACCTGTAAAAAAAACTGTCTGATTTCAGTCACCAGTTTTCCTGTGACAATTTCCAGTCCTACAGATTTTGCTACTGGAAGGGCCGATCCATTAGGAGTGAACATGTAGTTGTCAGATATAGGCCCGGCACCACTGTCTCCATTGGGATGATACTCGAGAAACTCTTGGGTCATTTGCATTGTATAATTCCTCTCTCTGAAAATGTAACACAGTCAAAGTTGTTTCAAAATGTTCCCTTTTTGGGGAATTATGTTCAATGCACTTATTGCTCTTTTACGAACACATAGGTAGGCTTTCACCCACAGCATACAGTATAATAAAAACTAAGACCAGTGGATACCGCTGTTTATTTTTGGATATCAAGATGTTATACCACAACCAATGGAAAGGTTATAGCACCAGAACCATTAAAGCAAACTAAAGTCAGCAATACTTACCTCTACACCAGCGATCTGATGCTGACTACCCAGCTCTTTTGGGGTTCCAGGATGCAGCCATCTTCATTGGCTGGTGTGGAATGATGTCACTCCTGCACATGCACAGGAGAGCAGTCAATCCAGTATCTGCACCAGAATGCAGGCTGAGCTGCACATGCGCAACTCGGTGTACATTCTAAAGAAGACTGCGAGCAGGCAAGAAGGTTTGTTTTTTGGCAGAAGACACATTGCATGTCTCTTCTGCAATAAAGAGACTGCCTGCTTGAAGTATTTAAATCCAAGAATTTAGTATCAAAGTACAACTAAAGGCAAAATATTTTCTTTGTATTGGATAGAGTGGAGAGAGATTAGAACACCTGTCAGGTTTTATTGAAGTCTGTGCCCTTTTTTGGAATATTTACCGTCTAATTTGCCATGTTTATCATCATCATGGAGATCAAAAATGAAAGAAAATCCTTAATTTTATATTGTCACAGGAACAGTAAGGCCCTTTCACACAGGCGTTCCATATGTCCGTTTATGGATGAAAAATGGACACTCATGGACTAGCAGATGTAAACGGATGATCTGTTTACATCCGTTAATCTCTGCAACCATTGACATCCATTTCTTTTAACGGAAGAAAGTCCTATTTTTCTGCCATTAAAAAAATGGAACGGACAAAAAAACGGATGTAAACGGATGAAAAAACGGACGTAAATAGATGTAAACAAATGAAAAAAAAGATGTACACTGATGAAAAACGAATAAAAAACGAATATGAACTGATCAATTTTTTCTTGGAAAAATGTGACTGAACTGATGAAAAAACCGGAACGCCTGTGTGAAAAGGGCCTTAAAGTCGGGACATTTTTCAGTGGGGATACTGAGGACCCTGGTATGACACTGGTGACAACCAGGAATTCCCTCACTTTGGAGGGATTTCCTCTCCCTTCTTGTTTTGACAATGGGACATGAAGTGAAAGGAAGCCTCCCAAATGGGACAAAAAAAAAACCAGGGGTGTTTCCTTCCCTATTCAAAATGAAAAAAAAAAAAAACCCCAAAAAACAGGAGTTTTTGCAGGAATCAGACATAAAATCTCCATTTAGCGTACTGTATACCTGTACAAGCTTATGACATGCTGTCCCTGAACTTCTTGACAAAGCAACAATGGCCGTCACTCAGATTATTTAAAAAAAGTTTCCAGGATATCTTGTCACAAGCAGCAGAGAATTTATAGTTTCACAAAGATTGGTGTATGTTGGGGAGGGACTTAGGAAAACAAACAAAAAAAAGCTAAAAGTCAGATTTCTGGCATCTCCTGCAACAAAAATGCTATTTTTGGTGAGATACTCTCAAAGGGAAAACACATCTGAAGGGATACAAACCCTGCAATTTTCCTCATTAGAGCCCTGAAGGTGCAGCAGCTCATTGACAATTACCCACTTGCCCTCCAGAAGATTTACCCCCCTTCCTGACCAGGCCATTTTTTGCCATTCCGCACTGATATTTCAACTTGTAATTCAACTGGTAATTGCACGGTTAAGCAACGATGTACCCAAACGAAATGTATGTCCTTTTTTCCATACAAATCTAGCTTTCTTTTTGGTGGTATATGATCACCACTGGGTTTTTTATTTTTTGTGAATGAAAAAATACAGAAAAAAAAGCTATTTTCTACTTTTGGTTACAAAAAATATCCAATAAACCTAAAGTTAGTCATAAATTTAGGCCATAATGTATTCTGCTACATGTCTGGTAAAAAGAAAATCCCAATACATGTATATTAATTGGTTTGTGTGAAAGTTTTAGTGTCTACAATTTTGGTATATATACTGAAATTTACGTAGTTTTTACTTTCTGACTGCCTATCACAGTTCCTGAGGTGCTAAAAAAAAACACCAGGGCAGTACAAAGATCCAGCAAATGACCCCTTTTTGGAAAGTAGACACCCCAAGGAGTTGGCTGAGAGGCATGTGGAGTCCATAGAAGATTTTATTTTTTTATCACAAATTTTTGAAAAATGACAATTTTTTTTTTTTACACAAAATTGTCACTTAAATGATATATTGCTCTCTTATGCCATGGCTATATGTGGAATAACACCCCAAAACACATTTTGCTACTTCTCCCGAGTATGGGGATACCACATGTGATAGACTTTTTGGCAGCCTATCCACATACATGCCCCCAAAATCCAATGAACACTTTCAGGCTTTCAAAGGGCATATTTCCTCATGTCACTTCCTTACTACCTATCACAGATTCGGAGGCCCTAAAATGCCAAGATAGTACAAAACACCCCCTCAAATGATCCCTTTTTTGGAAAGTAGACAACCAAAGGAATTTGATAAAAGTCAGTGTGAGTATTTTGCTGATTTCGTTTTTGTCACAGGATTTTGAAAATGGAAAAAAGAAAAAAAAAAAATCTTTCTTCATCTTCCAAAAACTCGTGGCAACAAATAAGATCTGCAAAATACTCACCATGCCCCTTAGAAAATACCTTGGAGTATCTACTTTCCAAAGAGGGATCATTTGGGGGGTTCTACTATCTTGGCATTTCAGGGCCAACATTAGAAGCTTATGTCACACATAAGCTTCATCACAAAGATTTACAATGAGGAAGTGAGGGCCATATCTGACCAAGGGCTACAAGGTCAAATTAGACCACAGTATATGGGTAAACCATGCAATGGCTAAAACAGGAGAATGGAGATTTAAATGTAGAACCACTGACTGAATAATTATCTCTTTTCAGGTGGGCTTTAATGACCATTCTCTCCATTTTTAGCCCCCTTTCTGGCTCATTTTAGAATTTTCTGTGTCACTTTTTCACTTTACTACTGGTCACTACTTGGCATCCTAATTTCAGAATTAGTTTTTTGATCTACCTCTTGTTGGTGAAAAAAATGAAAAACAAGCAACAATTACAAAGTGCAGCTTTATCGGCACCAAAAAAAAAAAAAAAGACAAAACCTCTTTTACTGTTTGAGTCATAATTTGCAGATGATCCATTTACTGACATACCATGCACTCATAAATGAGGTCCCTGCAAGCAATGAAGTGTTGTGGTTTACTAACAGGTTATGTGACTGGCCAGTGTTTCTAAGCACAGAAAGATTATGATTGGTCTGATGGTAGTCAGGAAGGATATTAGATTGTTTGGTTCATTTTAGTGAGCTGCTGTAGAAGTAAATGGTTATACAAATACATCTTGTTTCCCAAGAAAATACCACAAAAAACAATAGAATATAACCCTTCACAAAGTTTTCACCAATAAATAGTAAAGGTAAATGTGAAATTGGAACTAAAACTATGAGAAAGTATTAAACTTATTCCTACAGTAGCCCACACACAAAAAAAAAATTCAATGAACTACACTATATTGCCAAAAGTATTGGGATACCCCCTTAAAATCATTGGATTCAGGTGTTCCAATCACCTACATGGCCACAGGTGTATAAAATCATCACCTGGGCATCCAGACTGCTTCTACAAACATTTGTAAAAGAATGGGTCGCTCTCAGGAGCTCAGTGAATTCAAGCGTGGTACCGTGATAGGTTGCCACCTGTGCAATAAGTCCATCCGTGAAATTTCCTTGCTACTAAATATTCCACTGTCATCTGTTAGTGGTATTATAACAAAGTGGAAGCAACTGGGAACAGAAACTCAGCCACGAAGTGGTAGGCCACGGAAAATGGCAGAGTGGAGTCAGCGCATGCTGAAGCGCACAGTGCGCAGAAGTCGCCAACTGTTTGCAGAGTCAACAGCTAAAGACCTCCAGACTTCACGTGGCCTTCAGATGAGCACAAAAAAACAGTGCATAGAGAGCTTCATGGAATGGGTTTCTATGGCTAGGCAGCTGCATCCAAGCCTTACATCACCAAGTGCAATGTTAAGCGGCGGATGCAGTGGTGTAAAGCACGCCGCCACTGGACTCTAGAGCAGTGGAGACTTGTTCTCTGGAGTGAAGAATCACGCTTCTTTGTCTGGCAATCCAATGGATGTGTCTGGGTTTAGCGGTTGCCAGGAGAACGGTACATGCCTGACTGCATTGTGCCAAGTGTAAAGTTTGGTGGAGGGGGGATTATGGTGTGGGGTTGTTTTTCAGGGGTTGGGCTTGGCCCCTTAGCTCCAGTGAAGGGAAGGCATCAGCATACCAAGACATTTTGGAAAATTTAATGCTCCCAACTTTGTGAGAATAGTTTGGAGATGGTCCCTTCCTGTTCCAATATGACTGTGAACCAGTGCACAAAGCAAGGTCCATAAAGACATGGATGAGTGACTTTGGGGTGAAAGAACTTGACTGGCCTGCACAGAGTTCTTGACCTCAACCCGATAGAACACCCTTGGGATGAATTAGAGCGCAGACTGCGAGCCAGGCCTTCTTGTCCCACATCAGTGCCTGACCTCACAAATGCGCTTCTGGAAGAATGGTCAAACATTCCCATAAGAACACTTCTAAACCTTGTGGACAGCCTTGCAAAGGGTGGGCCAACTCAATATTGAATCCTACGGACTAAGACTGGGATGCCATTAAAATTCATGTGCGTGTAAAGCCAGGCGTCCAAATACTTTTGCCAATATAGTGTATATTGACCATTGCTGTGCTACACAATGCTTGTGCATTACTACCATTGTTGAAAACTATGTATTCCCTATGAGACTGACTGCAACAGTAGTTAAAGTCTTACTAAACACACAACAGTACAATCAGTCTGTACATGCAGTAAAGCATGCTTGTTATACTCACTGTGGAACCTTAGGGGTTAATCCTCTGCATTGTGTAAAATTGATGTGGGATTGATGCGGAGGATGGAGGAGCTAGTCAGGATTATCAGGTAGGGGCTCACAGAAAAGGCCGGCCCTGGGATTGAGCACCCAAATAGATTTGCTAAGTTGGGTGAAGATGTGGGGGTGGCAAGCTCAGGGGTGGCAGCCCTGGATGTCACTGCTATCCCTTACAGCCAGAGAAGCAGACTATCTGGGAGGAGTGACGAGGCTAGTGCAGGAAAGCCTAGACAGTAGGTGGTAATATTGGATTCTATAATCAGAAGGACTAAAAGAATAATTTGTTGCCAGGATTGCCTCAACTGAATGGTTTGCTGTCTCCCTGGTGCCAGGGTTCGGCATGTGGTGGACCAGGTTGATAAATTACTGGGAGGGGCTGGGCATGACCCATCTGTCTTGGTCCATGTTGGAACCATAGACAAAATACATGGAAGATGGAGGATCCTTAAGAATCAATTTAAAGAACTAGGCTGCAAGTTGAAGGGAAGGACCTCCAAGGTGATATTCTCTAAAATATTACCTGTGCCATAAGCAACACATGAAAGACAGGAGGAGATTAGGGAACTAAATACATGGCTAAAGACCTGGTGTAAGAGGGAAGTATTTCAGTTTCTAGAGCACTGGGCTGACTTTTCATTGGGGTGCAGCCTATATGCCAGAGATGGTTTGCACCTAAATGGAAGGGGGTCTGCTTTGCTGGGGGAGAGGTTTATGGGAAGGCTGGAGGAGTATTTAAACTAGGATCGAGGAGGGAGAATTAGATTATAATGAGCCAGACAGGGGCAAGTCCTTATTGGTGGGTGGAATGGGGAAAGATGGGGGGAGGGCTATGGCAGGTGATAAGAAGGTTCCCATGTTACAAACAACCATTGGAATTGGTACCATTTGTATGAAAATAAAAAATATTCAAAATACGTGTGCACAAGGTGTCAATTAATTAAAATGTTCACCAATGCCAGAAGTCTGCCAAGCAAAATAGGTGAGTTGGAAGCTTTGGTGCATGAAGAAAACTATGATTTAATTGGCATTGCTGAATCTTGGCTTCATTCTTCACATGACTGGGCCATTAATATTCCTGGCTATGTTCTCTTTCAGAGAGACAGGGTAAAAAGGAAAGGTGATGGTGTCTGTCTCTATGTGAGAAGTGATCTCAGAGCGAGTGTGAAAAAAGGACCTAGTTGATGGAGAGTGTGATGAGGCTGAAGCATTATGGGTGGAACTGCACATGGGGGTGCGTACTACAAAGGTATTCATTGGAGTTTGTTATAGGTCTCCCAGTGTTAATGAGTAGGTGGAGACTCAGCTCCTTGCACAGATCGAAAGGGCTGCAAGGGCTGGGACAGTGATAATAATGGGGGATTTTAACTACCCAAAAACTGACTGGAGTAATGGCACTGCAGGAACAGTTAAGGGGCAAAAATGTATAAACCTACTACAGGACAATTTTCTTCTGAAAACTTCCTCTTCATCCTGATCCTGTCTCTGGGTGGAGCAGCACAGTGAAGATTGCAGGAACAGGGTCCCATTACTGGGAGTTTATAATACTGCACTTTATCTAAATCAAGACATCTTACCTGTCTGTTATACTGTCCAATAAGTTTGTGCTTTTGTTGATCCAAAGGATGTTGCAGTCATTCATAACTGCAATGTTTGTCTTTTCAAAGTTTTGTTGGTCAGTTGATGGCCGTTTGTCAAAGTTCACTGATCTGCCCACAGTGACTGTCCCCTGACTGGATTCTTCATTTCCAATCTTTAAAGAGTACCTTCCATAGCTGAGACCATGCAGGACAACAAGGAGATACAAATCAAAAGTGTGACTTGGATCACTGGAATTGTGGGATCTGCAGTATGAAAATAGAAAATAATTATGGATAAATCAAAGACTAAGGATGGATATACATGTAGCAGTAAATGGTTGACAGATTTAGTTGTTTTTGTATTGTCAGGACCAATGGTTCCTTTTCAATTAAACAACTGATCAAACCTCCAATTCCCTAAATGTTTTCTGAAAAATTGTCAGTGTGTACAGGCAGCATTAGGATTTCTTTTTTCAGACAAAAAAAAAACAGTAAGAAAATACAAATAAAACTGAACTCTGGGCACAAAGAAATCGTTAATATATATTCCTCAAAAGCCATCACAGATATTCATCTATTGTGTGTGCACCAATGCTTTTCAAACCCAAATAGGACCTTGCAAAAGTAGAAGTGGTATCATTACCATACGGCCGCCATTACCAGCAGGAGGCTGTCCTTCCTTAAGAGAGACTATGTCTTTTGACCACATTGTGGGGATTCTAATACCCTTGTAACGCAGCAGATGCATTTACTGCAACAAGGATATTTGAGTGATGGGGAGCTGTCAACCTATATGTTGCTGAGGTCAACCCTCATGTACATATAGGTGTGGACATTCTACTATAGATATTTGTGATGTCCTGTGGTGGTTATGCTTAGGGAGTTTTTTGTTGGGATTTTAAGATACTTTGTTGCAACCTTCAATTGGCTGATGTGAGAAAAACTGAATATAAAGAGCCTATCCTGAACAAGCAATTATTAATTTGCAAAATGCATGTTGACTGTTGTGAAATGTCGTGACATGTTTTACGATTACTTTTTTACCTTTTAATACGTTTTAGTGCTTCTACTGTACATATACACAATAAATGATGGTTATATGTAGAGATGAGCGAATTATTCAAAAATTTGGTTCGGCTGATTCGCCGAATTCGCCGAATAAATTCACTTCGAGCCGAATATATTCGCTGCGAATTTAACTTATAAAAAGGGTGTTTCTAGGCTTCAGAGAGCCTTTATATTAGTGCAGAACACTGTACCTTTAATTTAAATGCCCTTGGAGTCTGCTGGGGAAGAGAAATAATACTGTCAGTCAGTATGACATGCAGATGAGTGCCGTCGATCTTAGAATCACCGCACACTTCACTCATTTGGGCAGTCACGGGGCCAAAACCAGAGTGTGGAGCCACAGTGTGGCGGTGGAGGCAGCAGCAATGGGAGGCCATACAGCACCCTATGACAAAATGGAACCCACCAGCAGTGTGAGGAGACCTGAAAGTGGCACATGGCAGAGTGTGGCGATGGAGACAGCAGCAATGGGAGGCCGTACAGGGACTCTTTGAACGTACAATAGTGGTTGTGATGCAGAAAGTCAGTTTATTGTACACAATCGGTCAATTGCAGCTTGCCGTTGGCTGGAAACTGTACGTTTCTGTCACTGGAATGCACTAATCACCCAAAAAATATTACCGCCAGCCGGCGTGTAAATGGATTTAACTCTTTGAACGTACAATAGTGGTTGTGAAGCAGAAAGTCAGTTTATTTAGCACAATCGGTCAATTGCAGCTTGCCGTTGGCTGGAAACTGTACGTTTATGTCACTGGAATGCACTAATCACCCAAAAAATATTACCACCACCCGGCGTGTAAATGGATCTAACTCTTTGAACGTACAATAGTGGTTGTGAAGCAGAAAGTCAGTTTATTTAGCACAATCGGTCAATTGCAGCTTGCCGTTGGCTGGAAACTGTACGTTTGTGTCACTGGAATGCACTAATCACCCAAAAAATATTACCGCCAGCCAGCGTGTAAATGGATTTAACTCTTTGAACGTACAATAGTGGTTGTGAAGCAGAAAGTCAGTTTATTTTGCACAATCGGCAAACTGCAGCACCAACTGTGCACGACAGCCACCAAAAAAAAAAAAGGGTGTATGTCACTTTAAATTTTCGATTCTTTGATAGCTGTGGCCCTAAGTAACGATTCTGTGTCCCTGAGTAACGATTCTGTGTCCCTGAGTAACGATTCTGTGGCCCTAAAGTCTCTGTGGCCCTAACTCTGTCCCTTAATACACACAGGTCTGTCTCTCTTGAATGACCGGAGGCTAATGGAGAATTCTAAGATGGCCGCGATTTATAGCTCCACCATTACACAGTGCTGGCTGGCTGCTGATTGGCTAATGCGATCACATGTCATGAATGCATTATGGGTCAGCGCGCCTTGTCTGCGCGCCTTCCCAGAGATCCCCGCCCCATCTTCTCTGTCCATTTTCTCCGTCGCCACACATGTCGCCGCCATTTTTGGGAAAATTCGATTCGTGCATCCGAAGTTTGCTAATCTTCGGATTCGTCGCGAATCGACTTTTTCCAAATCTTCGGAACGAATTCCACTTCGTCATGTTCGATTCGCTCATCTCTAGTTATATGGTCTAAAAAATATTTTTGTGTATGCAATTAATGTATATCCCAAAAGCAAACTGAAATAACCATCATATGTTCCAATCCATAATATGGGAGGTTTTCTGTATTTTTCTTTTAATTACCTCTGCTGTCAGCTAGTGGCATGCTCTATAGACAATCAATAGCTCTCTGGAAGCTCTTTTAACAGGAACTGTGCTACTAATAGACAAGTAGGGTGATCAGATTACACAGACAGCTTCGTGTTCATGTTCAGCATTCCTTGCTGCTTCTCGACTGTTTGTAATAGCTAGAGGCAGCCAAGATGCCAGGAGCTTTTGGAAGACTTTGTTCCATAATGCCCAATGTCTTACTAATACTAAGAAAATATGCGGTAAACACACCTGTGCTGGAATGACCTGTCCCATCTCATCATAGACATCAGTAACCCAAATGTTCATTGGCACATGGACATATGTGGTTGTATCCCATGCTAGTGGATTGTAGATTGTTATATTCATTAGACCTGAAAAATAATAAAACTGGTAAAAATTATAATGTACACGGTACATAGGTTTGCCTGTCTTCATAGACTGCCGTGACTTGCTATGAAAGCAGTAGATTGGCTGCTGTTTCAGACTAGATTACCACAAAAATGCCCGAGAGCCAGTATTTCCAGAAAGAGACATCAGCATAGACCTATAGGTTTTCACTAATCATCCTGCACTGCAATAAACGAGAAGTAAATTAACAAATTTTGACTTTTCCCAACCTTTAAACTGCTAAAACTTAAACTAAAGACAAATTCCTGGCATGCTGTACATATCTGACCAATAAAGCCACTTCTGTTTCTAATTTCCTAACCACAAAATTTGGTGAACCAAAATCTTTCATCTCTGTATGAAAAAAAATTCCAAACAAAATACCTTCTGATTGATCATCATTGTCAGAGCTGAACTGGTCTAGAGCAATAGCTTCCATAAGTTTTCGGACACTGAGCATTCCTTGACGCAGGTTTGCCATATACATATCCCTAACCTTCGGCGACTCAGTCCCCGTTATGCCATCATGATGTTGAACCTACAAAGAAAATCTTCTAGATTAGATATTTAATCATTTTAACTAAAGCCAATTTCTTTCATTTTGAATAGCATAAGAAAGGGTTAAAAACCCTTTAATTTTTTGCCATCTGTGTACTATTGGGTCCCTTATTTTCCTGTACCACAGCCACAACAGATGGGGAAATCCCTCCAAAGTGAAGGAATTCCTGATTGTCACCAGAACTAGTATCCCCATTTGGAGATTTACCCTCTACTTCTGTTCTGGAACTCAAAATGTGGGATATTTTCACCCTCGCTCTCAGCAATAACAGTCATCAGGATAAATAGAAAGAGTAAATGTTCCAACTAAAAAATGTTCTAATCTTTTGCCTAAAATGTTTTTTAGCTATACTTTAATACCACTTAAAATGTTTTATACTATGCATTGTCACCTGTAAGATCTTGTTTTACTTCCTATTCCAGAATTTAGTGTATTAATATGCAGTAGTGGTGTCAGATAGTTATGTTTGATGAGAAGACCTGGCATGCAATCATCATTCCAATTAATCCCAAGCATGTTCACTAGGGCTGAGGTTAGGACTTAAGGGACGTTCCTCCATATCAAACTCAAATTGTGTCTTTATGTGCACAGGGGAACAGACAAGCTGAAAATAAGTAGGGTCTTCTCTAAACTGTTTGGGAGTTTGGTAGCACACATTTGTCTAAATATCTGTGTATGCTGTAGCATTAACTGTAGCTTAAATTTGAAATACCTTGACTCTGCTTGTTCTCATACTTTTGGTTGTAATGTGTATACGGATGTGAAAAAAAATTAAGACCGCCCTATGGAGACTGTTGACAACATATTTGGACAGGCAACCATTAGATTTTCAATTAAACATCGTCTACAGATAAAAGTTATCTACTTGAACATTCTCAACCAAGGTTCCTTTGAACCTGTGGAACCCTAAAGTTCCTTCAGGGGTGCCTGGGGTTCCTTGAGCTGTGGCTATTTGACCTCACAATCTGATGCTGTCTTGATAATGTCCAGTCAATCGCCACTTGGCAAAGCCAGCAGAATAACACCAATGTTATTTTTAGCTATCTATAGGGTGGCATTCTAATCACCACTGTAAGGGAGGCATTTTTCTCAGTGATCACCAATGCTAGGGGCATTCTTCCCTCTGATGCCAATTAATGAATTTAAGCAGTGGTTCCCCAAGACCATAAAATTATTTCAAGGGTTCCTCTGGGGTAAAAAGGTTGAGAAAGGCTGCTCTAGACTCTCCTAAATAGCCACTGAATTTCATAACTGCAGACATTTACTGGTTATAAAGTTTCATTTAAAAGGGAGATGTTCACAATCCCAGGTTCTAGATGCCAGTTTTGGGAGAGCTGACTTGCAATATGAGAGTCCAGACTGGCAATCTCCGCTAAACTTGGGTTTGGTAATCTCCACAGTGGGAGGTTTCCAGCATCAAGTGTAAGGTTCCTCTCCCCATGGCCACTCTGCTTTGGTCCCTCTGCACCATCTCCAGTTTTCTGAACAGATTCTTTAAGCCTAGCAAATATGTTTACAGGCTTCATTCATAAAGTGTCTAAGAGCAGATTAGTCCGTGTTGTGCCACAGAAAACCAGTCAGATTGTTTCTTTGCAGTATGCAAAATTTGAAATGGAAAATTGCTCTGTAACAAATCTTTCCTTATATTAAAAATCTTAATAAATAGAGCCTACATAAAAACTGAAGGTTTATGAGGACCTAAATGCTGATTTTGTCTCTCTCTATTACTGCATAGGGGACGTCAGTCTTGAGCTCAGGTAGGAGACAATCAGCCTCTGTGGGGACATTATAGTCAAACATGGAGCTGACGTGCTTTCGCAGGGGGTGAATGCCACTAAATAACAAGACACATTCCAGTTCTTACATATACCTATCCCTGACTATTTATCATAAATAAGGCACAGTGTTTTACCTGGCTGTTACCAGTCAGAGATGGAATTTCTTTTTTTTTAGACATGTTCTCACTGCAGTTTTACCTCTGAGACTGCCCATCGAAGGGCCTGCAGCTGCTCCAGAGCCCACATTTTGCATACAGATCCAGATGGATGCTTTAGCAGATACTGAGTGAATGCAGATTCCCCAGCATACAGTAATGAACTGGCCCTGCGTGCCACGCCTTTCAAGATGTTGCGTGAGGTGTAGAAACCTGTCCATGCTTGATACGTATCTACATAGAAAAATGTTTAACAAAAAAATTAAAAATTACTCACAAAATGGATGAGAAATTTCTCCAACAGGATCATAGCCAAAAAATAATGGATGAGAAATCTCTCCAACAGGAACACAGACGTAAAAAAAAAGCATTTTTACTAGAGTGAGGGAGGTTTAGAACTTACAATGATTTTATTGCTGTCTGTATTTACATGTTCCTATGACACCTCTTGTAATGGCGTCACAGGGACAGAAAGTGAGGAAAAATCTTTTCAATGTGGTCACAAACAGTACATTTTGGCTAGAGATGGGCTTTAATTGACATCTCTGAGGAAGTAACTGCTCATCTCACTAATGTGAGACCGCTGACCTTTTTATGCATGATCATTAAAATCACTAGATTCTTTACATGTAGGGATGCACCGAAATTTTAGTGTTCGGAACATATAGGCCAAAAATGGCCCTAATGGCATTTTGCCGATAGGAACATTTTAGCCGAAACAGGTGCCCATAGGGGGCTATGTGTACTGCATATGAGGGGGGGGTGGAAAAAGACAGGAGAGGAGCAGTGTATACAGTGAGCAACCGCTAAATGTCACTGCCAGTTTTTAAATGTAATTACCGGCCTTTTTTTCCCCTTCACTATAGCTCCAAGAATAAGCTGTCATTCTCCCCGCCGCTAAAGGAAACTAAGGGGAGGGATCACTGAGTAATGTCACCCCGCCCCTTAAAAAAAAGACGGTAATTGCATTTAAAAACAATGCCAGTTTCTAAATCTAATTACCTGGATTTTTTCCTCTTCACTATCGCTCCAAGAATGAGCTGTCATTCTCCCCGCTGCTAAAGAAAAGGGGCATTACCCAGTGACCCCGCCTCTTAGTTTCCTTTAGCGGAGGGGAGAATGACAGCTCCTTCTCAAAGCTAAAGTGAAGAGAAAAAAAAAGCCCGTAATTAGATTTGAAAATCGGCATGGTTTTAAATGCAATTACCAGCTTTTTTTCTTCACTATAGCTCCAAGAATGAGCGGTCATTCTCTCCGCCACTGAGGAAAATTAAGGGGCGGGGTCACCCAGTGACATTATCCAGTGACCCCGCCCCTTAGTTTCCTTTAGCGGCGGGGAGAATGACAGCTCATTCTTGGAGCTATAGTGAAGGGAAAAAAAAGACGGTAATTACATTTAGAAACTGGCAGAGACATATAGGGGCAGCCAGCGAGGGAGCCTGAGTGTATACACTGCTCCCTCACTGTATACACTGCTCCTCTCCTGTCCCCTCTTTGCACACTGTGCCCCTGCATGCCCGCCCACCTACAAAGAGGACCTGTCACTCATATGCTATCACATAGGGGACTATTGGTCCCCTATGTGATAGCAATAAATCATAAGTTAAAAAAAATAAATAAAAATACACATTAAAGTTAAAAAAAGATTTAAAAAATTTTGAGCCTCCCCACATATGCAGACATTTCAGTTTTCAGCCATGTGCATTCTGAATTTTCGGTTTCAGCACCAGTATTTTAATTTCGGTGCACCGCTACTTTTATGCTTTATTGGCTATGATTCAATAACGTTGAAGCCAGGTGGAGTGCCCCTTTCAATTGATGTCAGGTTGTTTCAGCTTGAATCCTATATACAGTTAGACCTGGCAATGGCAGCAGCAGATTTTCCATTAAGACAAGACAACTTGACTGGACATAAATAGTGCAGAGAAGAATTTCCAGGCTCTGGAACCCTGGGTCTGACTGCTTGGCTGGCAAATACAGAGAGACTGTGGAGAGTCCTTGATCACTGATATGGTGTTCAGCATGGAAAATTGGATTAGCTGGCCTTTCATCTGTCAGTTGTGTGGTCACTTCAGATCAATAAACATCACAAGGTTCATTTGAATGTATAGATCATTTCTGAGGAACATACTCTTTCTATAAAATTACAAAGATGCAATTACTGGTAAAAGAACAGCACTAAAAATTGCTAATTTAGCAAATGAAACAGCTCTTGTGCTAGTATCAAGTTTTAACCTTAGAATTCCCCCAATATTTCTGCCCAGACCTTCCTTTCCAGTCCAGCATTGTTATGGCCTTCTAAAAGGTGTCCTTGGATACTCTGGAACTGGGAGGTGTTTAGATCTCAACTGTCAACCATGTTTTGGCAGTCTAATTTGCTAGAAAACTTGAGACGTTTCCCCAGAGGCCATGTCAGGGCCCATTGGAACAGTCTGAAAAAAAGCTGTCAATTCAGACTGGAATTGTCACCTACACCAAGGTCCTGCACTCCCCTATTTAACTTTTTCAATAAATCAATAACTAAGGCTCCATTTACACCTCCTCTTTTAAAAACAATGCATTAAAAAAAAAAAACTCTGCTTGTAGCATCTTGGGTGCATTTTTTTTTTTTTTTGCAAAACACCCATTCCATAGTAGTTAGCGGCTATAAAGTAAGTTGGTAGAAAGTTTGGTGGAGTCTAGACAGATCAGTGCATCTGGACAACAGTCAAGAGCTCTACAGCATCAAAAGATTATAAGATTTTTATTGTCCTAATATGTATTTTTACATATGAAACCTCTAACTAACCAGACTATAATCTTTTCCCAGAAGTCTGAATTTGGAACAATATATATCTGAGAGCTGGCATCTTTATCCAACGGTTGTCAACAGTGAAACTGTAGGCCATGCACTCCTGACTAAAGACAACTTATGGGTCTGGTGCTGGATGGATTTATAACAAAGGTACTGTATGTGGATTTGGAATAGGACTAACACCATGGTGTGTTATCTAGTGTGCATGTTTCATCTTGTTTTCCTATGTACATGTATGTACATTTGTAGCCATGTACATGCATGTTATCTAGTAAATATATTTTAACAATAAAGGCAAAACATTTTTTTTAGCTTTGGATTGAGTGGAGAGGGATTGGAACCCATGTTGGTCTTTATTCCTGTTTGTGCCCACATTAGGGAGATTCACCCTCTCTATTTGTCCTGTTTACCATTATCTTTGAAAGTGAAAGTAAAAAAAAAAAAAATCCCAAGTTTTCAGTTGACATCAGAACAATAGAAGGGAAATGTTCCAATGCAGACATTGGTTCTGGAGACCCTGATGACACCCTGAGATTCCCCCACTTTGGAAGGATTTCCTCTCTATTCCTATTTTGGCTATGGGACAGGAATAAAGTGAAATCTCCCCTATGGGACAGAAAGGGCAAAAACTGACAGGGGTTATAGCCCTTAGGCTCCTTCCATATGGAGCCTAACATATCTGATCAGGTCCACCTGTCAGTTTTGCAGGCAGAACTGATTGGAATGTCCATGCATTCCTATGAACAGGCTAGTACAAATGGACTTCGGTTTGGACCAACGGGTCTGATGCAGTCCACTGTCAAAAAGGAAAGGAGATCCATCCTCCTTTGTGTAGGTGGATTGAAGGGTAGTCGGGTGTAAATGAACAGCGGAGTTCTTCAAATACCACAGAGCAACAAACACTCAATTCTACACTGGTGTGCCCACTGCTACACTTTTTCTATAATGGCCACTGGCATTCCCTTTCAGACATTCACAATCTCTTCGACCTCCCTCTCCCCCTCTGAAAATCAATGCAACTAAGAAATTTCCTCACGCACCATTGGGGGAAAGTTTTGCATCGATCCACTCCCATGGAGTTTGAACAATTGTGCCTCGAGGAAGAGGCAACACCACATGGTCTTTCGTGATCATATTGCATATTGTCCCACCCACCGAATGCTCCTTCACCAAAACATCTGGCTCAATGGGAACACAAGCAGGGACGTACTTTCATGGACCAATGATGTGGCAGAATCTTGACCATGACTCACAAGGCATCTATCTCATGCAGTGTTCAAGAAATGGGATATAGAATCTTATCTAGATGGTATAGGGTCCATAGGACTCTCCATAAGCTTTTTCCACAGTTTGCCATTGTGATGGATATGCCAGGAGGAGGAGGGCACCATGCTCCATATCTTTTGGTCGTGTAAGAAAATACAGGACTTTTGGTCCCAAGTGAAACACTACATTTTTAAATTTACTGATATTCAATTGCCGAATGATCCAGCAGCTTTTCTTCTACATCTAATGCCCATATCTCTAAACCAGTACAAATGCTTGCTTTTGATCCATTTCCTCACTGCAGCAAAGGCTTGTATACCTGCCTGATGAAAAAAAACATCCACCCCCTCTTTGAAGCAGCGGTTTGTGAGGATTTCTGAAATCAGGTGAACGGATGAGTTGCTGGCCTCAGCCAATCATACAGAGGAGCGCTTCAATAAAACATGGTTTTATTGGACTGAATTCTTCTGCTCTCCTGAATATTGCTCACTATTGGGCTCCCACGCTTGAGATCACTTGTCAGTCCAGCTTCGGTCCCTACTTATGTCTTTTGCTATCATGTCCCCCCCCACCCCTCCTTTCAATCCTACAATTTTGTTTCCCTCTCCCCCCCCCCCCCTTTGTTTTTTTGTTCAGTTCAGAGGTAGCACTGGAGCCATGCTAGAAATAAATGGCAGTTCCCATCCAAGGACTCACTTTGCTCACAAAGGAAGAATTCTTGTAGGCAAACTGTACACTGTATGTTTTTGTCTTTTGCATTTCTAACCTTAGATGGTTCTCTTGAAATGTGTTTTTCTTTTGTAAATTCTGTGAAAAATTATAAAAAGATAAACAGACAGCGGAGTTTGTTTACCGGCTGCCCAAAGAGCGCTGTGTCTGCTCTGTAGAAACTGAGCGAACACAATGGAGAAGATTTACTAAAACTGGAGAGTGCAAAATCTGGTGCAGCTCTGCATTAAAACCAATCAGAATGGAATCTGCCCCATCAGAATGGAATCTGCCTCATGTGAAAGGGGCCTTACTCTATCCAAAATGAAGAAAAAAGTGTTGCCTTTAGTTGCACTTTAAAATCTGCTTCATTGTCCATTTTCTTGCATTCATTACAATAATCCATCTGTTTTAATGCTGCAGCCATTCCAATGCCATTAAATGTTCATATAATGCTTAATTTGCACTGTAAAGTACCATAGAAGATGAGAGCCCTAAATGAATCAAGAAAACTTATAATCTAGAATGTGGTCCGTGCATCATACCTGAAGAGTACGGCAGAAAGTCTTCATTTTTACGAACCTCCCAGGTCAGGTTTCTCCCGTATATGCTCTTGAAGTATTCTCCGAGTGTATAGTACTGCGCAGTCACTCCAAACTCTGATTTACTATTTATATATTCCAGTAACAAATCCATGTTATTAAATTGGATGGAAGAATTGAAGAACTGCTTGTCACAGCCCTAAAAATGGAAAAACAAGTCCAACCTAAATGAAGACAATTTGTATTGTACAGATGTTAACTTGTCACTTTTATGACAGCTTCTATCATCTCTTCTAATATCATTGGCTTACTGTCTGCCTCCTCCATTGCACATCCCTGTCACAGTTCTATCCTTAGTTGACTATTTTACTTAAAGCTGAACTCCAGGCAAACAGCTAAATACACAGATTAAATACATACATGAGAGCTGTGTTAGGCCCCTCTCACCCAGTGATCAGATCAGTCTGTCAGTTTTCCAGGCAGACCTGATCGGACTCTCCATTCAGCTCCATAGACCAGCAGATGTAAATGGACTTGTGTCCCTTTACACCCGCCTATCTCAGATCCGATCCAGTCACCAAAAAAAAAAAAAAAAAAGCAGAGAGGGGTGAATTCAATCGGTGGGTAGTCAGCTGAAAAGGGACACTGGAGTCCTTTAACACCCCACTGCCCATTCAACATAGTGGGCTCTGTCTGGGTCTGCTCTGCACAAATTGAGCGGACACAAACCTGTCATCCGCCCGCTCTGCTCTGATCCAGAGTCTGCCCTGTATGAAAGGGGCCTTACTTGTCAAAGGATTTGCTTAGAAAATATAAAAAATGTGAAAGTCTTATCAATAGTTACTTTGAAGGAAACCTTTATTAAGAGTACATGAAGGCTACCATTGCTGACCTCTGTTTCTGAAAATGTTAGTTGCCTGGCTGTCATGCTAATCCTTGTCTTCAATTCTTTCTGAGGCATTGAGCTAGGGAAAGCATACAGATCAAGCCTTTTGAGTTCACACAAAATATTGCAGACGTGACTGAAACTGCGAGCTTGTTGAAAAACATCCTAAATTCCAATTACTAACAACTTCTTACTTTCTAATCTTCTTTTATGAACTTTTGTGCAGTTTGAAGTACATGGACTGTTGTATTTAGTTACAAAAGAAACTTTTTTAATCGGTTGGAAATGAGAAAATTAAAGATCTGTGATAGGACTTGGAAAGTACTTACCCAGGGCCATAGGACATCATTGCTTCTAAACCAGGCTGCTCGCATTTTAATATTCTTCACCATGGTCTCGGCATACTGGTGAATGTTATCACTGGTGACGGGAAGACTCATGTTAGGATAAACACCATCCTTCGGTGGATCAGGAAATAGTGCCACCCCATTCCAGTAAAATCCTGACCTAGAAACAAGAGGGTTAGTTTTTTTTAATCTAGGACAAAAGAGAACTACAGGTAGTCAGTCTTCTGCAGTAACTTTATGGTAAACTGTAGGTAAAAAAATATACAGTTTACCCTAGGTTCACACTTTGGTGGCCCACGTTTTGTACAAGCATGGCAGCCCATTCATTTGAATGGGTGCCGTGCCTCCTCAAAAAGCAGGGAAAAGGTCCCTGCACCATTTTTGAAATTGCTGCCCACATAGAAACTGCGTGTGTAGTTCAGTTCCAAATGTGGGAAGCTGAGCATTAAGATTCATGGCACCCACATGCATTTCCTAAGTAGCAGTGCATTTTTCTGTGTGGGTGGTTGCAGCTGTAGGAACAGGCGCAGTCCTGCAGAACCAATCACCCACACAGCTGTGAACTTAGCCTAAGCAGATATTTATTGTATACACCAGGGGTCTCCAAACTTTGGCCCTCCAGATGCTGAGGAACTGCAAGTCCCATGAGGTCTTGCAAACTCTGCCAGCCACAGGCAAGACTCCCAATGGCAGAGGCATGATGGGACTTGTAGTACCTCAACAGCTGGAGGGCCATAGTTTGGAGACCCCTGGTATAGACAAACCACATTATGACTGCTTCAGTGCTCAACCATAATATTGCATTAATAGCTTAAAGTCCAACTCCAGATAAAACTTTCACCACATGTTTTGTGCCCCACTGGTACGATTTTCCCCTCACTAGGCAGGTGTAGTTAGCCACCTTTCCACTAGGTGTCTCTCTACCAGAGTAATGTTTGGTTCAACAGGTAGTGACATTAGGTGTTAGGCGCTTTTAGTTAGAGCCCTCCCACAAGTGATGCCACCCCACATATAAGCTAGGTGAGGAAGAGACTCAGAAAGATTTGGGGGATTGGGAGAGAAACACCTTACACTTGTGAGCATGTAGCCAACACACATGGGCCATGGACAGAGCAGAAAGCCAGGTGGAGTGGACCTGTATACAAAAGGAGCTCGCAGTAGGCAGGCATTCTGACTCTTAAGAAGGTGGAGGGTGGGGCAGAGTGAAAAATGCCTTGTAGGCCAGGCTAGAGATACCTACAGTGCTTTGAAAAAGTATTCATACCCCTTGAAATTTTCCATATTTTGTCATGTTACAACCAAAAAAGTAAATGTATTTTATTGGGATTTTATGTGATAGACCAACACAAAGTGGCTCATAATTGTGAAGTGAAAGGAAAATGATAAATGGTTTTCAAATTTTTTTTACAAATAACTGAAATGTGTGGCATACATTTGTATTCAGCCCCTTTTACGCTGATACCCCTAACTAAACCTAGTGGAACCAATTGCCTTCAAAAATCACCTAATTAGTAAATAGAGTCCACCTGTGTATCATGTAATCTCAGTATAAATACAGCTGTTCTGTGAAGCCCTCAGAGGTTTGTTAGAGAACATTAGTGAACAAACAGCAGCATGAAGGCCAAGGAACACACCAGACAGGTCAGGAATAAAATTGTGGAGAAGTTTAAAGCAGGGTTAGGTTATAAAAAAATATCCCATGCTTTGGACATCTCACGAAGCACTGTTCAATCCATCATCCAAAAATGGAAGAGTATGGCACAACTGCAAACCTACCAAAAACCTACCAAAACATGGCTGTCCACCTAAACTGACAGACCTGGCAAGGAGAGAATTCAGAGAAGCAGCCAAGAGGCCAATGGTAACTCTGGAGGAGCTGCGGAGATCCACAGCTCAGGTGGGAGAATCTGTCCACAGGACAACTATTAGTCCTGCACTCCACAAATCTGGCCTTTATGGAAGAGTGAAGGGCAATCTCCCCAACGGGACACAGACTATAAAATAAACCAAGAGTTTTAAAGTTTTCTTATTGATTTGTAGCACCCTCCTAGATTATTTTGAGCTTTTCTGGGTTTCACTGACTGCAGGCTTAACTGCTTTCCCCTGCCTACTGGTGGATTCTATAATGTAGTGGATTGCAAGACAGACCCTCTGCCAGAATATTTATGTGGCCACACAATAAACTCATGTCCACTGCATATCTCCAAACTTGTTTTTGTGCTGACCTAGACTTCTTCTGCTGCCTGCAGTTAGACTCCTGTTTGAAATCATTATCACCAATTTATCAAAATATAAGACCACCAACCTCATTTGAAAAACTGTGCGAGGAAGCGGTACCGGTCAGACATGCTCTGTCACAAACATATTGTATATTAATATCCAGTGAACGCCAACGTGAACCAAGCTTCTTGTCTAAGTAGGAAGCTGAACTCTACACCACTTTCCCTCCCTCTCAAAAAGATAGAATTCTTTTTTTTTTTGCGTACAAGGCCTCCCTGGCAAATACATATCAAGACAATGGGTAGAAGATACTCACTAGGTGGTATAAAACCCTTCAGCTCTTACATAGGGTCAACCCTCAGGTGTCACCCATATGCTGGAGTTGCCTTAAATTGGAAAGTTCACTTTTACATATATTTTGGGACTGCCCAGCACTCCACATTTGGCAGCCAAATTTTCCATTAAAGACCTAACTGGATGGTCCCTTGTAGATTCACCCACCAATTACCTCTTACGTGGTACACAAATGTCATACAGGCGGTACAAAAAAATCATTACTGAGGCGCTTTTTGAACACTGCAAAAGCATGCACACTGGCACTCTCGAAATCTACTGATCCACCAATTATAGAACACGGAGTGCTAGAATGTCAGACATCCAACTGATGGAACAACTTACCACATCTCTCAAGAACCAATCTGAAAAGCATTTCAAAATCTGGACATCATGGTTGATGTACGGAAACTCCTCCATAAACTGGCCATAGCCCCTGAAGATACTGCTGGAGGGAGAGGGAACCCCCCCGCCCGAGGGAGAGGGAACCCCCCCGCCCCATCCTCTTCCCTCCCATTCTCTTCCTTCACGATTGCACTACCCCTCCCCCTTCCCTCCAACTCCTTCCATAGAAGCTCACCTCCCAGGTCATATTCCACCACCCCTCCCCAATTTTCCCCCTCCTTTTCTTCCTCATTTTCTTTCCCTTCATCCATCTTCTTAAATGTTTACCACTTAGGTATGTTTTGTTTATGTACTGTATTTAGACAAAATTTGACCATAACAGGACTTGAACATTGCTTTAGTGGAGAACTTTTACCAACATTTTCTTGGATGACTGTTCTACCAGTCTGTATTTCATAATTGCCAGTCATACCACTGGAACTTCATTTGTGACTGCTATGCTATGCATATTCTTCCATATGCTTCATTTCTGAGCTCTTATCAAAAATGAAAAATGTCTCATATTGGAAGGAGGCATCCAAGTGTAGCAATACCCCCTTAGGAGTCGCGGAAGTTTTGGGTCCCCCTATAGTCCTGTACAGCCAGGCAACACGCATTTCTTTCAGACTTGCATCAGGAGACAGTAACCAGTCCTTGAAATTTGTTTTGAAGTTTTATCGGGGAAATTAGAACATGGATGGGGTAAGGGTTGTATGAGATGCCCAAGGACAATGGCAACAGAAGACAAGCTCCTTAGCAACCATGCACAAGTCTTTACAGCAAAAATTCTTCTAGAGAGCTAGCCAGCATCTCTCACAGTACCGCCCCAGACCCCAGATGAGTCCTCTCCTCATCCAGCTGTACTGGGTAAATCCCTGGGCAGGGTATCCAGTGCCTGCTGCTGCAGTGTAAAAAATCCTGGGTAAAAAAAGCTAATCCAGTTTCCCACCAGAGTGCCTCTTTCCCGTTGTTGGCCCAGGGGGTGCGGGTCTACTCACTTGTTCCTTCTATGCTGCCGGTGGGTTGGCGGCTGCTACTAAACCTTCTAGCTGGGCCGCTCCTTCCCTGCCACACAGGTGGTCCTCCCTCAGGGGGCCAGTAAAGTCTCAGGCTTTCCTTCTTGAAAGGTCTCTCTGCCTGGAGGTGAGCAACTTTCCCATCTGGGCCCCCTTCACGGGCTCCTGCATCTCTTCCTCTCTCACATCTTCCACCCAACTCCCTCCAACTCTCCTCCTCCTGCAGTTGAGCAGGCTCAGTTACTCTTAAAGATTGTGCTGCCCCTCGCCAAGCCTCCTGTTGGGGATTGGCCAGGATCCTCTAAGAGTACAGACCAGTCACTCTCAAATCCACCCTCTGCTTCTAGACCTTTCTCCAAAGTTCTACAGCAGGGGGAAATCTCAGAGGGCTGGTCTGCAGAGCCTCTCAGCTCTGACCAAAATTTGACCCCTGCTAGCTATAGCTACTCAGCCCTAACTAACAACTGGAATCTAGCTGCCCCTAACTAACTAGGAGGGTGCTACACAAGTATCCAGGGACATTGTGAGTATAGGCCTGAATAGGCCTGAATGTAGGATCTCAGTGACTGTCTGCTGCTGCTACTATTTCTTCATGCAATAGCTCCAGTGCTTGCTTGGATTGGGACACTCCCCTTTTTGGGGTCCCAGTGCTGCTTACTCCCTTAGTTTCTGCTAAAGGAACCATACTAAAAAGTGTAGAAAAAGCAAATATTGTCCTCCAGTTATTTGACTGTGTTTCTGGAGCATCCCACAGCTACCTGCACCCTAACCAAGTTCAACTTGTAATAAAGCAACAAAAGATATCCCCTAGACTGCACACTGAGCCGTGAGATTCCCTGTGCTGCTGTGTGCCTGGCCACTATTACACCAACTTGGGGAAAGAACCTGGGGACTAATCAGTAAGCCCTTTAAGGGGTGAGCACTACACATGCAAAGAAAAAGGAAAAGGATCATCCATACACTTTAGCTTATGCATAACTCTGTTTTAAAGAGTTTGTAAACCCAACATTCCATATTCCTGATATTTGCATGCTGTACCATGTACTTCTATGAAAAAGTCTCCTGTTCTCTTTGTATTGCTTCCTTTGTGTGCAATCGCTAGTGTTCCTGCCAGTGCCTCTGATTTCCTAATAAATAATGACCACACTAGGCAGGAAAACACACCATGGTCAGTTCTTTGGCTGGGTTGGAAACTCACTGTGCTCTCTTTCAATGATCAGATTTGCACATCCTTTTACTAGGAAGATCAGTGTCCTGCTGTTTCTCCTCCCCCATCTCTTATGCAGCTGGGAACAGGGGGAGTCACTTATAAAAAGAGGAAAAGAAGGTGTATAAAATGCTTTCCTGTATATCTATGCACAAATGTTTTGCCTTTCATTTTTACTTTAAACTGAATTGGTTGTTTTACAAGGTGGGGGTTTACATATATTTTAAGCAAAACTAATATGAATTTGAATAGGTAACATGAATAATGTGATCTTTTACATCCTTATAATATGGCAATTACCTGTTGGAAAATGGCAGATGGGATGGGGTACAGTAACTGAACTGGTCCATGACATGTGTAAATATGCCCTGTTTTTCTGACAGGGAAGGAGATCCTCTCCAAACAAACTGAAGCTTCTGTAGAAGAAGAAGAATAAAATGTATATAAAAATAAAGAATCACAGAACATACAAAACCTCTGGGTATAACAGTAATTATTGAGTTGATTCTTTTTTGGCAATTACAACAAACAACAGTTTAATCACCTACTTTATATGAAAAAAAAAACAGGCTCAAAAGAAAATCCTGGAATGTATCCCAGAAAGTGTGTAACACATAATGCAGCTTCATAGAATAAAAAATATAGAATATTGAGAACAGCAAGGCAGTGTGATGGCCACTCACAGTTCTGAGTGGCCATCTCACAAATGATGGGGGAACTTTTCTAAAAGAGGACATTATGAGTAGGAAAGTCACTGACACTAGGCAGGGCTGACAACACTGCTTGGGATTTCAGTGCAGCAGAGATAGCGTTGTCAACGCACTACAGGAAGTTAGATGCTGACTGCATTTCTAGCAGGATTAACGGGTATTTTTCAGTACTTGCAGCAATTTAAAAGATACAAAACATGAGAAAATGTACATGGATTGCAGAAATGTATGGAATATGGTTTTTTTTTTTATGTTTTCATCTGATATACACTTTACAATTTGGTTGCAGATGGTACTATTGCTTATTTATCTCTAAATTCTACTTACAAGACAGGTGTTCTTAAAGTGACATTAAAGCAATGTTTTGTTTTTTTTTTAAAAATGCAATTTTTATTGGTCCCATGTCAGCATGACTTCGGCTCTGTGTCCCTCTTACTGTGTGGAGTGCTGGGAACTACTGCACATAAAGTTAAAGTTCTTTAACTGGAGCGCACATGAGGAGTACTTCAAGCTCCTGCACATGGTACTTCTGATTGTAAAAATGAATTCATTATAAATTTAGAGAACTTTAATAAACATAAATTTTACATAGCTTAAGGCAGTCATTCTCAACCATGGTTCTATAGAAGCCAAGGTCCAGAGGTTGTTAGGGGTTCCTTGACCTGTGGCTGACTGACCACCAATTTGATGGTGCCTGCATAGGTCCTGCATTAAAGCCATTTGGCAGAGCCAACTGATTGAACCCAAAGCTCTCTGTAATTGTGGCATGCTGACCACCACTGCAAAGGGGACATTCTTCCTGTTGATGTAAGGGGTATTTTTCACCCCCACAAATTAAATGGTTTTTGCAAAGGGTTCCCCGAGACCTAACGACCTAAATATTATTTCAAGGGTTCCTCTGGTGTAGAGAGAAAGAGCTGAGAAAGGCTAGCATAAGTATAGTTTGGAACTCATTTATACACTGACTTAGATACAAAAGTGCATACATTAACGAGGTTTAGAAACACTGCTAAAAAAGTGGACTACAATTTTGATCTGATTAAACAAAAAGGAGACAAAAAATGAACATGATGTAGACGATAGTTATGACAATTAAAAGAGCAAAGAATTGCTATTAAAATGCAATGATTTTTTTTTCCCCATCTTCCATCATTCTGATTGCATGTGCTAGCAATATAGAAGGTTCTATGCAGATGTCACAGCAATGCCATTGTCCAACATTATGTTCATAATACCGCTGCTTATGGTTGTCTGTCATATACACTGTATTGCCAAAAGTATTGGGACACCTGCCTTTACACGCATATGAACTTTAATGGCATCCCAGTCTTAGTCCGTAGGGTTCAGTCTTGAGTTGGCCCACCCTTTGCAGCTATAACAGCTTCAACTCTTCTGAGAAGGCTGTCCACAAGGTTTACAAGTGTGTCTATGGCAATATTTGACCATTCTTCCAGAAGTGCATTTGTGAGGTCAGGCAATGATGTCGGACAAGAAGGCCTGGCTCACAGTCTCTACTCTAATTCATCCCAAAGGTGTTCTATCGGGTTGAGGTCAGGACTCTGTGCAGGCCAGTCAAGTTCCTCCACCCAAAATATGCTCATCCATGTCTTTATGGACCTTGCTTTGTGCACTGGTGTGCAGTATTGTTGGAATAGGAAGGGGCCATCCCCAAACTGTTCCCACAATGTTGGGAGCATGATATTGTCCAAAATGTCTTGGTATGCTGACCCCTTAGGAGTTCCCTTCACTGGAACTAAGGGGCCAAGCCCAACCCCTGAAAAACAACCCCAAACCATAATACCTCCTCCACCAAACTTTACACTTGGCACAATGCAATCAGGCAAGTACTATTCTCCTGGCAACCAAAAAACCCAGACACGTCCATTGGATTTTCAGACAGAGAAGCGTGATTCGTCACTCCAGAGAACATGTCTCCACTGCTCTAGAGTCCAGTGGCGGCTTGCTTTACACCACTGCAGCCGATGTTTTGCATTACACTTGGTAATGTAAGGCTTGGATCCAGCTGCTCAGCTATGGAAACCCATTCCATGAAGTGCTCTATGCATTGTTGCTGTGCTAATCTGAAGGCCACACAAAGTTTGAAGGTCTTTAGCTATTGACTCTGCGCTGACCCCACTCTGTCATTTTACGTGGCCTACCACTTCGTGGCTGAGTTTCTGTTCCGAGTTGCCTCCACTTTGTTATAATACCACTAACGGTTGACCGTGGAATATTTAGTAGCAAGGAAATTTTACAGATGGACTTATTGCACAGGTGGCAACCTATCACAGTACCATGCTTGAATTCACTGATCACCTGAGAGCGACCCATTCTTTCACAGATGTTTGTAGAAGCAGTCTGCATGCCTAGGTGCTTGATTTTATACACCTGTGGCCACGGAGGTGATTGGAACACCTGAATCCAATGATTTGGAGGGGTGTGCCAATAATTTTGGCAATATAGTGTATAATTTTCTGGCATGCTGAAAAAACTATTTGTTTGATACTGTATCTGCCAGCTTATCTGTGGTTTGTTACAGCATTTTTACATGAAAAAAGGATTATGCAGGTTAGCCAAATCTTATTGGTTCAGACAAATAAGCTGTCTTGTATATGAGTAGGCTTGTTGCCACAACAGGCAAAATGCCCAAGGATAAAAGTGTGCATAGGCATGGAATGGTTTAAACAGGCAACAATCACATCTCTATGAGCTCTTTGATATTTGGGAAGGAACCCGTGAATGACAGATCTGTGGGCAAGCAACAATAGGATGAATTAGGTTTTCCTTGCCAATTATTATTGTTTCTGAGATTAAGCTGGTGCTAAGGCTTTATGCCCAGAACAAAGACATACACAGATATTTGCCAATACACGTAAGTATATAAGGCACTAAACAATTACTTGGCAGTTGGATTATTTGACTGCTAGCTGAAGTTTATAGGTACATTTTGATGGTATTACACTGCATCTCTGCCTCAAAGAATCAGAAGTGAGACACCTGACCAAACAGGTTCATACTGCTGGCACCTACCATGACTATGCCTATTTTGGCCATTGTTCTCTTTGCAGTACATATTCATTAAAATGCATATCCTTCTTTCTCTAGTTTAATGGAAAACCCTGATAAGTAATCAACATTTTTTTTTACAAAATCCCCATGCCCAATATCAAGCAATACCCATTCTAGTGAGCAATAATTACTTGCTGGGAGTACACCCACACACAGATTAAATTATGAAAGCTGTGACCAAATTTATTGCGGACTGCCATTAAAAGGAGGTTTATGGTCTTCCAAAGCATTACAGGTCTGTTGCAATAGCAGAAATTAAGAAAAAAAAAACGAATCCTATCTTCATGGGTACCTTGGAATCTTGCATAGCAGATTTAACATCATAATCTATGCGAGAGATGAGGTGAGCATTGAATCCAGCCATGGAAAAGAGTGTTGGTGAGGTGGCCGAAGCCCCAAATGGATCAACATGCCAGGAAAACTGAGGTCTCACTCCGAATGTTTCATACAAAAAGCCGTGTCCCTCTGTGAAAACACAGAATGCTGATTGGTATACAACATTTTTGTTCTTTTAAATTCTTTATTTTAGGTTTTTGCAAGATATCACATCGAACTTTGAAAGGGTAAGGTCGAGGTTTAGACAGGTTATAACATGCCATGTAATCGAGAACAGACTTTTTAAGTTGTTAGTTGAAGGTATTATACCAATATATTCTCCTTTTTTAAACCCTGACACATGGACAGTGGGGTTTGACCTGCAATCATATGTCAACATTGGCTGGCAGGAGCTCCCCAAAAGGAGCTAATACAGCCATAATCATCTACGTATGGCATAAAAGTAGGACTGGGGCCCTTGGCGAGGTACCAGCGATCCATAAGATCTGGGCACAAAATAGTATAAAAGAAGGTGGGGGCATCTTGCCTATCACGGCAAATAAATCAGGGCACTGCATATCAATGTCTCCTGCTCTAAGACCAATTAAACTTTCCTTCAAAACTCCCTAACCTGATCCACTCCCATTTCCATACAGTCTCAAACAGTCGTAGGGATAGCAATGAAACCTCTTAATACTTTGGAAATCCCCTGACCCTCCCACTTTCAAGCAATAGGGGACTCATATGGGCAATGATCTTATTTTTTGAAAGGTATGGGTATCAGCATTAAGGCTGCCCAGGTAAATTAGAAAGACTTGGACACTGTGGCTAGACACCCCAGGTCTAAGCCCTAGAAATTAGTTCAAATGAGGTTAATGCAGCGCATTACTAGACCAGTTACTGCATAACTAGATATGTAAGACCTGCACTGGCTTAGTTGTAATGACTGTCACTGAACTATTTACATTTGCTTTTTTTTTTGGTTATTGGAATTTTTCCTATGAATATGCTAAAACTGCCTGTACACACCCTTTTTTGTTTGTGTAATATTTTGTGCTGAACTGATGTTGTGTTGCCACTGGAGTGTTGATGGATTTTTTCCCTGCACTAAATAAAACCGTTCTGATATTAAAAAAAAAAAACCTGTTCTAAGAAAGCATGGAGGTCTGCCATTCCTGACCTTTTCTTTTCTTCTTTGATGTCAAACTCACCATGTTTCTTCAACATTTTGATTTGCTGACCCCAAACAAGTATGCAGATAAGGAATTTCCAGCCTTCGTCTGATTTTCCAAATCTGCAATTTTCTGGGACACTGCCTCAAAATGTATAGAAGTTAAGGAGTCAGCATAACAGCCAGGGGACTAGAAATAATGAGAGCCCCCAAATCTGTCTGACAGATTCACTTTTGGAAACTATGGAAGATAAAGTCCAGTAAATGTGGCCAAATTCAGTACGTCAAATCTCAAAACATGGAAAGGTTTCTTCACAGTAAGAACTGTGAAAATGTGGAATAGACTCCCTCAAGAGTTGGTTCTGGCCAGCTCAGTGGATTGCTTTAAAAAAGGCCTGGATTCTTTCTTGGATACACAGAATATAACTAGATACTAACATTTATAGGTAAAGTTGATCCAGGGAAAATCCGATTGCCTCTCGGGGGATCAGGAAGGAATTTTTTTCCCCACAGGAGCAAATTGGATCATGCTTTGCTGGGTTTTTTTCCTTCCTCTGGATCAACTGTAAATATAGGATTATAACTTTTTTTTTTTTTTAATGGTTGAACTGGATGGACTTTGTCTTTTTTCAGCCAGACTATGTAACTACAGTGGGGATCGAAAGTTTGGCCACCCCAGCTAAATATTTGTATTAATGTGCATAAAGAAGCCAAGGAAAGATGGAAAAATCTCCAAAAGGCATCAAATTACAGATTAGACATTCTTATAATATGTCAACAAAAGTTAGATTTTATTTCCATCATTTACACTTTCAAACTAACAGAAAATAAAAAAATGGCGTCTGCAAAAGTTTGGGCACCCTGCAGAGTTAATATCTTGTACTGCCCCCTTTGGCAAGTATCACAGCTTGTAAACGCTTTTTGTAGCCAGCCAAGAGTCTTTCAATTCTTGTTTGAGGTATCTTTGCCCATTCTTCCTTACAAAAGTCTTCCAGTTCTTTGAGATTTCTGGGCTGTCTGTCACGCACTGCTCTTTTAAGGTCTATCCATAGATTTTCAACTATGTTGAGGTCAGGAGATTGTGAAGGCCATGGCAAAACCTTCAGTTTAGGCCTCTTGATGTAATCCCCCGTGGATTTCGAGGTGTGTTTGGGATCATTATCCATTTGTAGAAGCCATCTTCTCTTTAACTTCAGCTTTTTCACAGATGGCATCAAGTTACCATCCAAAATTTGCTGAAATTTTATTGAATCCATTTTTCCTTCTACTCGTGAGATGTTCCCTGTGCCACTGGCTGCAACACAACCCCAAAGCATGATTGATCCAACCCCATGCTTAACAGTTGGACAGAGTTTCTTTTCATTAAATTCTGTGCCCCTTCTTCTCCAAACGTACCTTTGCTCATTCTGGCCAAAAAGTTCAATTTTAACCTCATCGGTCCACAGAACTTGTTTCCAAAATGCATCAGGCTTGTCTATATGTTCATTTGCAAAGTTCAAACGATGATTTTTGTGGTGAGGACGTGGAAGAGGTTTTCTTCTGATGACTCTTCCATGAAGACCATATTTGTACAAATATCTCTTTATAGTGGAATAGTGTACCACAACTCCAGTGTCTGCCAGAGCTTTCTGGAGGGATCGTTCAGTCAAACGTGGGTTTTGAATTGTTTTTCTCACAATCCTGCGAGCTGTTCTGTCTGATATTTTTCTTGGTCTTCCAGATGTTGCTTTAACTTCCACTGTTCCTGATGACTGCCATTTCTTAATTACATTCCGAACAGAGGATATTGACATGTTAAAACGCTTTGCTATCTTCTTATAGCCTTCTCCAGCTTTGTGAGCGTCAACTATTTTCAGTTTCAGTTTTCTAGACAACTGCTTAGAAGAACCCATGGTGCTGATTGTTGGGGCAAGATCAGATGAGTCTGGGCATTTAAAACCTTTGAGATTGACATCACCTGGTCTTCCCAGACGATGATTGAGAATAATCCATGACACTGGCAGGTCTCAGCTTGGCAAAGGGGGCAGTGCATGCTATAAATTCTGCAGTTTGCCCAAACTTTTGCAGACGACATTTTTTTGTTTTCTGTTATTTTTAAAATGTAAATGATGGAAATAAAATCTAACTTTTGTTGACATAAGAATGTCTAATCTGTAATTTGATGCCTTTTGGAGATTCTTCCATCTTTCCTTGGCTTCTTTATGCACATTAATACAACTTTTTAGCTGGGGTGCCCAAACTTTCGATCCCCACTGTATGTAACATGTGGTTGCAGATGTTGACATGAGCCAACTGCCTAAGGATGTTTTCTATTAAAGATCCTGACATTAACATGCATGTTTGGAAGTAGGCTGAGAGCAATTACAAGTGTCCGATGCCAACCTGGTTATGGGGAAATAACCTGGCTACTTGCCATTTTTCTACTGGGAACAAATGGTCAAAGTCATGCTTTGGTGATTTTAGAAAAGAGAATGATATCCCATCAAGCAGAAATCTTATTTCTACACTCACCTTTATGTATACCCAATTAATTGCCAAATATTCTATTTATTTTTATAACCCTATCTGGAGACGTCATACCCCTCTAGTGTTTAATTAGTACATACCAGTTAGTTGTAAAATCTGATCATCTATGGCAGTGACAGCTTCATCATGCATGACCTGGCCTCCAATGATGAACTCCAGCCTTCCCTCTTGAATCAACTGATGCACCTGTAAGATATTAGAAAAAAAATAATTTACATAAGAAACACCTTACAGACATTTCACTCCCCCAGCTGGACTCCGCCATGTAAGGGAAGCCTGGAATGCATTGCCAGGGGTCATCTCGTCTCGCAGCAAAAAGCTGTTCAGTACTTGAGAACCAGCTGGAGCACAAGGCCTATGGTCTCAAACTGGGAGTGAACCAGCACAGCCATCTGAACAGTTAAGAAGAATGTTATACAGAGAATCAAAAATACAATAAAAATGAATGGATGATGAATGTAAAATCTGGTGCCTAGGTGCCAACGTACTGCTATGTACCTTGCAAAACTCCACACCCAGAGCACTCAATATATTTCAAGCTCTAAAGTCAAAGCAAAGTCACTTGACTTCTCCCACCTCTACAATATCAGCTGCTGTACTAGTCAGGGAGGCATGATGTACTGCACTGGGAGATGCCATGGTGGGGGGCAGAACACATAGTTTAGAATTGAAACCTGCACACTGACAAAGGACCAGGGCTCACGACAACCAGACCCCTACACCAGTGGAGCTCAGGGCTCCACTCTAGCACCTCCACAGAAGTACTTATTAAAAAAGAAAAAAGATTACCAGGTCCAGGGCTCCCCTCTACAGTAGTTCTTATGTCATATTGTTACATATACCAAGAAAGCGCACGGAGGATTCCCATGCATCCCCACACCAGCCATATCACAGTCAGATGTCAATCCCTAAGGAAACATTGACATTTGTCACTGTGCTGGCTCGAAAAACATCCCTGCACAGTCCTAAATCATCACCTGCTTAGCAAGCTCTGAATTTCCAATATTAATGTGATAACACTGTAAAAAGTGTTAACGATGGGGTCAGAGATCTGGCTGGCTTTGGGATAGACAGTAAGGAGTAGGTCCCAGATGCAAAGCCTGTCTTGGGGCCCCTAGGTTTATATCTACAGCATTGTACACACATGGTAAGCACCTTGAATAGAGCACACAGCACTGAGACGTATCTCTGTTTCCTCTGAAGTCAGTTTCACAATTGTAGACTGGTTCTAGGTTTGTCTTAAAGTGTAAGTTTAAGAAGGTTTTTTTTTTATAAAGTGAGGAAGGATTAATCCTTTGTTGAGTTTTTACTGTTATCTGTGGCTCTGTTTGGCATTGTTTATACGTGTGGTCAGGAAGGGTGGTAAAAATAGGCAGTTGAGTTATGGTTTTACCACTTCCCAACTACCCACCTTAAAGCAGTTGTAAAGATTCAACATTTTTTTACCTTCACGCATTCTATGCATGAAGGTAAAACACATTCTGTTTGCAGCAGTGCCCCCAGGCCCCTCAATACTTACTTACCATCGCGATGCAGTGATGTGCACAACAGCCTCGGCTGTCCTGAGCCTCTGCCTCCTCATAGGCTGAGACAGCAAGCAGGCGCCATTGGCTCCTACTGCTGTCAATCACAGCCAGTCAGCAAATGAGGAGAGAGAGGGGGCAGGGCCAAGCTCTGTGTGAGTGGACACATGGAGCAGCGGGTGGCCCCACAGCAAGCTGCTTGCTATGGAGTTACCCGACAGAAAGGAGGAGCCAGGAGAGCCTGCTGGGAAACCAAGAAGTGGAGGATCCGGGCTGCTCTGTGTAAAACCACTACACACAGCAGGTAAGTATAGACATGTTTGTTTATTTTGCAGAAAAAAAAGGAACCTTTAGTATCGCTTTCAAGGATAAGTTCACCTTTGGGAACATGTTACATGTTCCATCTGTTTTTAGGGTGGAACATGTAACGTCTTCACTCCTTGAGCTGCTGCTGCATCTAGTGACAGCCAGCGGGGGATCTTCTCCCCCTGGTAGCTGTCACTGTTTTTAAAAAAAAAGCGTGGCCATGCGGGGCTCCGCCTAAGGCTGGCCATACACTATACAATTTTCTGCCCAATTTCCTTTAGATTTACCTTCAACTATGTAGTGCAAGGGACTGCCTAACTGGATACAATTGAAAGTGTTGTTTAGGTTTGACCTCATATCATATGGTTTTTGGAAAATCTAAAGCAAAATTCTCAAGAAAATTGTATAATGTATGGCCAGCCTAATCGTCCACATCATTCATTCACAGAATTCTGCCTTTGAGCCTGTTGAATTGTAGTTCTCAGTGAACAACCCTGACACTGTTGAGTGCTGCGCTAGTTCATGGTCTCCTCCTGTCAGTGTGTACGAGGTAGGAGCACACAGATACACTGACATGTCTGCAGGAGTCCTGCATGGCACCCGCGATCTGCTGATTGTGGGTGCAATGCTTTTTAGGCTCCAAGTAAAAAGAAATAATAAATGCAAAAAGATGGGCATTAAATATTTTTTTTTACAAAGGTGAACTTATCCTTTAACCTAGTGGCTGGACAGGAAGGAAAGGGGGGGGGGGGGAGGGAGTACACATGCCGTGGCAAAATATATACCATCAAGTCAATGGGGCCTCACAGCAGCCACCCAGCATCCATGTGTAGTGCATGTGGTCCTGGCACAGTGCTGCAGGTTTTCAAGTGTTAAAACAAGCAGTGATGTGGTGACATGTCACTTTATAGCTGAACCACTGCAAATCAATGGTGTGAAAGTGATGGCCACAAGAGCAGCACACAAACCCATAGATAGGTTTCCCCTCAATTCCTGTCCTGGTGAATTAAGTTTTGCTGAATAGGAAGTGAAGGAATATCTGCAACAGGGGAACAGACAGCAATTAAAAGCAGCAAAACAGACATTAAAAAAAAAAAGAGAAAGGGGAAGGCGAGGACCTCCATCAGCTTTTCATTGCTGTCTGTTCTTCTGTTGCAGATTTTCCCTCACTTCCTGTCTGCTGAAACCACTGTCACCAATTCAGAAACTGGTGGAAAATCTTTCGTATGAAGAATAGGAACAAAAACCAGACAGGGCTTTTACTATTTCCCAAATATATCCAAAACTAGAAAAACGTTTTTGATTTGACATACACTTTAAATAAATTGCAAACTAACAACACGAACACACAAGAACCACCATTATTTCCTTACAATGAGGCAGTATAGAAAATAGCCAGGAAATAGTCTATAGAAATATCACCTATACTTGTCCTCATAATGACCTGCACACTTACCTGCTGCCTCTGCACAGCTCCAGCTACAGCGTCCCACCACAGACGAAAGAACTCTTGTTCCACTACAATGAATCTGCGATGCTTGGCTCTCATCAGCTCTTCTACAACGGTGGAGTAGACATTGGCCGCATAGGCGTGCATGCTTTCCTGTGGTTATATAAAGAAGTCCTTAGACAGTGAAAACTGTAGTCCCCCTTTTACAATGGTGGCTGGAAAAGTGCTTTCTTACAAGTAGTCAATGTAAGGAATCAGTTAGGCAGGGTCTACCCTTGTGGTTGGCAGAGTAAAAACACGTGGTTGGGTTGCTTTTACCACCCCCCACTCCGCAAAGGCAGCAGACAGGGGTGTTTATATGGTGTGGCCATGATGCTTTGCATTGTAACTCAGCAAAATGTCATGTTCAAGGGAATAGGGCTGTACCACAATTACATGCAATCATTAGATCACTCATTTTATAAACAGACACACAACATACAGATCGCTCCTTTAATAAACAGACACACAACATACAGATCGGTCCTTTAATAAACAGACACACAACATACAGATCGGTCCTTTAATAAACAGACACACAACATACAGATCGCTCCTTTAATAAACAGACACACAACATACAGATCGCTCCTTTAATAAACAGACACACAACATACAGATCGCTCCTTTAATAAACAGACACACAACATACAGATCGCTCCTTTAATAAACAGACACACAACATACAGATCGCTCCTTTAATAAACAGACACACAACATACAGATCGCTCCTTTAATAAACAGACACACAATATACAGATCGGTCCTTTAATAAACAGACACACAACATACAGATCGCTCCTTTAATAAACAGACACACAATATACAGATCGCTCATTTTATAAACACACTACATATATATCATTCATTTTATAAACACACAACATACAGATCGCTCTTTTATAACCACACAACATACAGATCGCTCTTTTATAACCACACAACATACAGATCGCTCTTTTATAACCACACAACATACAGATCACTCATTTTATAAACACACAACATACAGATCGCTCTTTTATAATCACACAACATACAGATCACTCATTTTATAAACACACAACATACAGATCGCTCATTTTATAAAACACACAACATACAGATCACTCATTTTTTATAAACACACAAAATATAGATCGCTCATTTTATGACCACACAACATACAGATCGCTCATTTTATAAACACACAACATACAGATCGCTCATTTTATAAAACGCACAACATACAGATCACTCATTTTATAAACACACAACATACAGATCACTCATTTTATAATCACACAACATACAGATTGCTCTTTTATAATCACACAACATACAGATCGCTCTTTTATAATCACACAGCATACAGATCGCTCTTTTATAATCACACACAGCACTGTGGCTTGCTTACAGCAACTTAAAAATATATAATGATAATAGGGGGGAAAAAAGAAACAAAACAACTCATATGAAGAGTTACATGATCACAACTTCTTTTTGTATATAATGAAACATACAGCAATGTCTCTCTAGCTGCAGGGGGAGGACTACAAGTCTCATCACGCCCTGTCACATTGAGCAGTCACACCACTGCAGTTGAACAGTTACCAATATCGTGTACAAAGTGTGAGCTGTGAACCTGATCTGCCAATACAAATGCCATTAAGTATACTGTACCTGCACAGTGTACACCCAGCCCACATCCATGTGACTGTGAGGGATGACAAACACCTGGAGGGGATCAGGAGAGTGAGAGGCGACAACCCCCCCATGGCAGATCAGGAAGGTGATCAGGAAGGTAAGCAGTGGGATCATTGCAGCAGCTGCACATCTGACACACTGTCACAGGAGGAAGCAGCTGATCTGAGACTATGGCAGGCTGCAGGAGACAAACTACTTCATCCTTCTACTACTTCCTGAAACATGACCTGTGAATGAGAGTTCTGTGAGATCCAGGAAGGCAGGGGATTATCAATCCACACAATACACAATCTGTGATCTCTGTGGCTGTGTAGATGTCCCCAACTAGTTTTAGCAGATGGGATTAACTGTTGCCACAGGAAGTAACACCAAACTAACATCACCATCAATAATCCATACACATCCATTAATCCATACACATCCACTACATACGGTATAATGAAGGAAAAACAGTTCTTGTATTCGTTTTGGACAGAGAGGAGAGGGATTAGACCACCGATTATGATGTTATTGTTGTCTGTGTCCCCATTAAGGAGATTCACCCTATTTGTCCTGTTCACCATTATTATTGAAAGTGAAAGCAAACCAAAATTTTGAGTTGTCCCCAGAAAAGTAACCGAGGAGAAATTTTCCAATGGGGACACTAATTGTGGATTCCCTTTATTTTCAAGGATTTCTTCTCACTTCCTGTTTTGGGTATGGAATAGGAAGTGAGGGGAAATCTTTCCAATGGGACACAGAGGGGTAAAAAAACTTGACAGAAATTACAACCCTCCCTAAGCCCCCAGTCACATCAAAGCCGATTTTGAAATCGTGCAACTTACAGTGAAGTCACACGATTTCAAAATCGGGTGACCTGCCAATTTCAGTTGCGATATGCAAGACAGACACAGATATCTATGCAAATCGTAACAAAAGTAGTGCATGTACTACTTTTGAAATCAATGCGGCTCCGACCAAGTCAGAACCGCACCGATATGACCGCTCTAACAGCGGACAATAGGGTGCGACTTGGCATATGATTTGCAAATCACATGCCAAGTCGCAGCCGATGTGACCAGGGTGTAAGGTTAGGTTCACACCTATGCAGTTTGCATTTGATCCGTTTCTGCAGTGCATTTTCGTTTTTGCACATGCGTTGTTGCCACGTTTTTGATGTGTTTTGCATTTTTTTTTTCTTGTTGCTAGGCAGAATAAAACACATCAAAAACACACTACATGCTTGTCTGCAGTGTCTCCATTGAAGTCAATAGAACCAAAAACGCAACTTTTTGCGTTTAAAAAAGTCCCTGACCCTTTCCAAAAAGCACCGGGTGAAAAGGCGGAGATGTGAAAGTGTCCCTTGGGAAATCATGTTAAATAGACTGTAGTGCGTTTCTGCAAAACGCTGCGGAAACCGGTTAGGTGCAAGCCATAGATAGGTCGAAAATCGGTCGATTTTTCGACCGAAAAAAAAAATCGGCTGATTTCGCAGCGTTAATGGGTTAATTGATCGGCCATTTTTCTGGATTTTGTCAGATTTTTTGGGGAAAAAATCAGCTGATTTCGCACCATTAATGGGTTAATTGATCGGCCGTTTTTCTGGATTTTGTCAGATTTTTTTGGGAAAAAAATTGTCTGATTTTCACGGCAATGATGGGCAAATCTGCCGATTTTTTTACGGATAAAAAAATCTGTGCATGAGCCGTGACCTGCAAGAAGAAGAAGAAAAAGAAGCAGAAGAAAAAAGAAGAATAAGAACAAAAAGAAGAAGAATAAAAAAGAAGAAGAGAAAGAAGAAGAAAAGAAAGAAGAGGAAGAAAAGAAGAAGAGAAAGAAGAAAAAGAAGAAGAAGAAGAGAAAGTAGAAGAAGAGGAAGAAGAAGAAGAGGAAGAGAAAGAGAAAGAAGAAGAGAAAGGAGAAGAAGAGAAAGAAGAAGAATTCCAGTCCGCTATTATATTTGACATGAAAAATATTGTGGTTGCAACAATGTATCTATTTGTATCCGAAAAATCATCTGTATCCGAAATGGATACAAATAGATACAATGTTTTTAATGTCAAATATAATAGCGGGGCTCTCTGCAGGGACAGAAGTAATTAAATGCCGGCCGTAGACAGGAAGAAAATCGGCCGGTTTTTTTAACTGTTGGTGGTAACGTCGGCCTATTGAACGACCGATTTTTAGTTTTTTTATTAAAAAAATGGCCGGTTTTCTCCCCGTCTATGGCCTGCATTACTCCGTCCAAAATGAAAAAAAAAAAGTTTTGCCTACAGTGTTACTTTAGGCTGTTTTCACAATGATCAGTCCTTCTTTCTCTTTTGAGTTAAAAAAAAAGAAGAAAAACGTGACCATGTCATCCAATGGAACTCTTCTGACTGATCCATTACGGGTCCACTGCGTTTAGTAAAATCCAGCTTGCTGCATTTTTGGTGCAGGTTTGGTGTTAGGGTTGCCACCTCTTCCCTTTAAAACTGAACACATATTAATGACACAGGTTCTGTGGTTGATTAACGTGGCAGTTAAACTCGCCTAGTGCATGATCTGCAGTGAATTGGCCTCAGAACCTGTGTCATTAATATGTGTTCAGTTTTAAAGGGATGAGGTGGCAACTCTATTTTGGTGTGGTAAAAAAAGCCACATCAACAACGCACCTCCCCATTGAAATGCATGAAAAACACATCAAAAACGCAGAAAAAATGCGCCCACATTGTGTTTTTGAGTCATGTGTCCTTTGTCAAACACATCGCAAAGAAGTAAAAACGCGACAAAAACACATATGCGTTTTTAGCATGCTTTTGATACGGATCAGTGTTAAGTAGCCTTAATGACATTGTAATAAATTTTTTCTGAAATTGTTTCTAACTGCATAGTTGCCAACATATAAAAAAAAAAAACGTTCCTGGGACACCTTTTTTTGCTGTGCATTCAACAAGCCAATGTACAATGTACCTAATCTGTGGAGCAATCATTTAAGTACAGGGGTATGGCAGTATGTGCAGGAAAGGAGTGCGGAGTGTATAACGGTATGTGTAGGAAAGGAGTGCGGAATGTATGACGATATGTGTAGGAAAGGAGAGTTGAGTGTATGACGGTATGTGTAGGAAAAGAGAGTTGACTGTATGATGATAAGTGTACGAAAGGAGAGTTGAGTGTATGACGGTATGTGTAGGAAAGGAGAGTTGAGTGTATGACGGTATGTGTAAGAAAGGAGAGTTGAGTGTATGACTGTATGTGTAGGAAAGGAGAGTTGAGTGTATAGCGGTATGTGTAAGAAAGGAGAGTTGAGTGTATGACGGTATGTCTAAGAAAGGAGAGTTGAGTGTATTATGGTATGTGTAAGAAAGGAGAGTTGAGTGTATGGCGGTATGTCTAAGAAAGGAGAGTTGAGTGTATGACGGTATGTGTAGGAAAGGAGAGTTGAGTGTATGATGGTATGTGTAGGAAAGGAGAGTTGAGTGTATGATGGTATGTGTAGGAAAGGAGGAGTGCGCAGTGTGTGATGGTATGTGTAGGAAAGGAGTTAGGAGTGTATGACGGTATGTGTAGGAAAGGAGTGTGGAATGTATGACGTATGTGTAGGAAAGGAGTGCGGAGTGTATGACGGTATGTGTAGGAAAGGAGAGTTGAGTGTATGACGGTATGTGTAAGAAAGGAGAGTTGAGTGTATGATGGTATGTGTAGGAAAGGAGTTGAGTGTATGACAGTATGTGTAGGAAAGGAGTTAGGAGTGTATGACGGTATGTGTAGGAAAGGAGTGTGGAATGTATGACGGTATGTGTAGGAAAGGATTGCGGAATGTGTGACAGTATGTACAGGAAAGGAGTGTGGAGTGTATGATGGTATGTGTAGGAAAGGAGTGCGCAGTGTGTGATGGTATGTGTAGGAAAGGAGTGCGGAAGTCTTCGGGGCTGCATAGAACACACTACTGAGCATTTGGGGCTTTAAATATTAAATTAAAAAAATCTTTACAATTCCATGCTATGGTATATGTAATTATTAAAATTAAAAAGGTGAAAGAATCAATTATTCAATCCACATGAGCAGCCACCATAATATTGCAGGTAACAATATACATAAAATAATATACAAAGGTGCGGCGATTTAAAACGTTTTTGAACTTCAAAGTCCACTCCACAAAAATGAAGATATAAGGAATAAGCCCCTCTTCACTGGAACCTCAATGCTGCTATATATGTTTCAAAAACAGCCAGGAGAAGATAGAAAAGGGTCCACCATCACCAAACACTCTGCGTCTTACCAGATCATGTTGACCCCCAGTTATGGATGGGTCAAAAAAACGCTGTGTAAATTCCAAAAGGCAAGCCGCAGACCCGGACACTCTTTGGTTCCAAACTTTCACATCAGAATGTGGGCTGGAAGATGAACCTACAAAGGAATTATCCTCGTGGAGGACAACCTCATTCAAATTGCAAAAACAATCCTGATAGTGTAGTAAGATGATTTAAATGTATTGCCTCAAAGCATAGTATTAAACGTATATCAATCAAGAATATAAAACAGCATGTCACCATATGATGAAAGTTTCTAACCAATAAGATGGCCGCCACGTTCCGGTGCGTGCTGACGTCACGTGCTCTGACTCCTCCCTACTCGTTTAGTTGTCATCGTCAGGGGCGTGGCTAGTGTCAGGATGCAGTATTTATTTATAGGGAGGAGGGGAGCCACCCCCTCCTTCATTTTAATAAGGCATGCACCGGAACCAGAAGAAAATCGTTGGAGACAAACACCAGGATCGCCACTGCATATCCTGCCAGTAGTCAATTTCCAAAAATATAAAGGAAAAATGCTTGGGTAAACGCTACTGCACTATCTTATTATAGAAATATCTAATCAGCCATTTTATGTCAAAAAGAAAAGAAAAAATGAGCAAAACATCGCATTAACGGTCGTGACACCATCTTGTGTCCATAAAAGATATGACAATTGCCAATTCAAGTAGAAATAAAAACATCAAAATATATTAAACATAAATTGAAAATAGATACAAAAGTACCATAAATACATAACTCCAATCAACCTTAAAAGGTGTATGTAGTTAAAAAGTAACCAGAAACAACTACCTATTATTGGTAAATGCATTGACGTCCCATTCAATGTTGAGACTTTATGGC